CATGGGTGGACAAGCCAAATCCTGAGTGATGGTGCCAAGCACTTGTGCCTGGGTCCTGGCTTGAGGCCGGAGGGACCCTCCACAGGGACAGCTGGTCCGCAAGGGGGCAGGGGGCACCCGGGGAGGAGCCCATGGGAGCTGCCTGCATTCCCACTGAAGATGTCACCAACAATCCTACTTGGGATGTTGACACCGGGTGTTGCTGGGTATTTTATTTCCTTGCAGCAAGTACACAAAGGAGAGGGGAATCCACAAACTTTGTCTCCCACAAGAGAGGCTTAGCCACTGCTTAACGATGCCATTTGGTTAATTGCATGTTACTTTCTTCTTTGAAATTGGCTCCACTTACCTGGTTGGGTTCCTGGCAAGCTCATCCTGTTGACAGCTGTGTCTGCAAAAATCTCTGCTACATTGTAACGTTCAGCAGGGAAAGAATTTACAAGAATGCTGGGACCTATCCAACACAGACGATAGCATTAGGAAATCGCCTTGTAGAGAGACGGCTGGGCCTGAATAAAGCTGTGACCTGCACCCTCCAGGCCTCAGCGAGGGCAGGGGTGGGCCGCCTGGTGAATGGGCCTGCGGGAAGGCCCTGCCCTCACACGCATGTGACCACACACACTTCTTGGGCCACACCGTTTCACAAATTCTTTGTCAGAAGAGCCCCAAATCTGGCTCTCCTGCTGCCATGTTTAGTTGTCTGGGTCTCCGTGGCAGGGGACCATGGTGAGTGTGGCTCACCGATGCTCAGAACAGCCTGAAGGGCAGGCCCAGAGAGGGGGCATCTGGCCAGAGGTGCCTGCGTGGTCAGAGGGCCATACACTCACCACAGGAAGTGGCGAGGTCAGTGGAACCTCAGGTGAGCTGAGTGGCCCCTAATGGCCAGGACTATGGAGAGCCGAGGAAGGTGAGCCGTAGTCAGGGCCTGGCAGGGCTCCGTGTGTCTGCACTGAGAATGGGATGGGGAAAGTGTGCACCAATGTGTGTGTGAGACTATGCAGCCTGTCCGTGGGGTGTGTGTGTGTGTGTGTGTGTGGAGAGAGAGAGAGAGAGAGAGAGAGAGAGAGAGAGAGAGAGAGAGAGAGGTGTATCAGTCTGGGTCCAGTCAGGAAATAGCACCCACGGAGCGGTGAAAAGTGGAGAAGTTCACATACGCATGATTGTTAAGCTGTGATGAGACCTACGGCGAGGATATGGGAGCTCTGTGGGCACCCCCAGGCTCCCAGAGGGAGGGTACCCAGGGAAGAAGCCCCCACCCCAGGCTGGGGTCAGCCCACTGCCCGTGGAGAAGTTGGGGGGGCGAGCAGGGCCCAGGCTGGCGTGCAGCCGTGAGGCCAGCAGTGGAGACCCGGAGGCCCGGGGAACGAGGGGGGCAGGCACGTGTGTGAGTTGGGAGCTTCAGGAAGGCCGGTGCGGGCTCAGGCTGGGCTGCGCCGGTGCTGGGACTGCGTGTGGCCGGAGGGAGACACTGTGTGCCTGCGGTGGCCTCCGCTGATGAGGCTCAGCATCTTCACAGAGGGGGCACTCAGAGGGTCCCGGGTTGCCTTGAGAATATATGTGCATGTATGTGGGCGGTGTGGGCATGCATGTGTGCACACGTGTGCTCTCGTGAAGGGTTGAATAAACCAGAGGAAGGAGAGGACTTGGGCCTATTCCATCTGCATCAAATATGAATAAATTGAACATCCCAGCCAAGCACGGAGGATTGAAACCTGCCTGGCCTGGCTGCGAAAAGGTCAAGGCAGAAGCAGAACCCCGGCTGGGTGACAAGAGCCTTCCATGCCTGCGTGGCAGACTCAGGGGGGGTTTGCTTGTAAAGAAAACCCTCTGGAAGTTGGACTGAAGCATCCATCTTACAGAAAAACTGCTGTTTGACATTTTAACCCTGCTATTTGGCTTCTGTAAATGCTTCCTTCCTTACTTAAATAATAAGGAAAATAAGACGACTCCCACTTCGGAAAGGCCATTAAACCTTCCCTGGATGAAGTTATCAGTGCTGGCACCAGGCCAGTCCTTTGGCTGCGGTCCCAAGGCCCCAGCACGTAGGGGCTCTTTAAGAACTTGCAAAGAGGGCTGGGAACACCCCATATTTGGGAGACAAAGAAGGTAAAAACATATAAATAGAGGAAAGTTCCTCCATGTTGGGGCCCAGAATTGGAGAGAAATTTTCCTCTGGAGCCGCGCGTAATAAACGTGTAACTCCATCTCTCTAAGGGTCACTTGGTTCTCCGGTTTTCTGTAACCGGACGGCACTTCACCCCACTGAACGTTCGTTCTGCGTCTTTTCCGCCGGGCTGGGCCAGGATCGGAACAGACGGGGTCTGGGGTCTGTGGGCCCCTGTCTCTGTTCCCGCATCCTCACACCCGTGTGCACAAAGTGTGATACACGTGTGCGGGCGCACACACACGCCTTGGAGTCTCCCGGCGTCGTTTTGGCAGGCGGGCAGGACCTGCCTGTCCCGTGTGAGAAGAGCCAGCTCCTCGCCCCTCGGCATGGTGCCCGGGCCCAGGGGCAGCCGGGGAAGCAGAGCCCCGAGGTGCACGGAGGGCGATGCTGGCCAAGCCTGACGGCAAAACGTCCGGCGAGGGTGGGAGGATTCTGTCTCCGCGGGGCCTCACAGGCGGAAGGCGAGGGTGGGAGAGGCCTGCAGGTCCTGCTGTTGGCTGCCCAGAGTTCCCCAGGCAGGTGCCGGGCAGCCCTCCGGCAGGAAGGTGCCCGCCGTGGGGCACCAGCCAGACTGGCCCTCGGCCTCCAGCAACCTCAGCATCTGCCTTCATCCCGACTCCCACCACCACTTTGTTAGCTGTTGTGCTGAACCCCAAGATGTAGAACCTCCAGCAGTCGGACTGGGTGACGCCCCTCCCTTCCCAGGATCAGTGTTGTAGCTGTGAAATGGGGCAGTAAAGGGGTCTGCTCACCGGGGTTTTGGTTCTGAAGTGAGAGGTTTGCACAGTGTGAGCCTGTGCCAAGCTGAGGCCTGTCCGCACCTCCGCTGGCTGCTCCTCTCTCCGGCACGTCCTCCCCTGGTTCAGTTGGAGAAACTGAGGCTGGGAAGAGGTCAGCACTCTGCAGGCCACGGAAATGGACACCGGTGGCCCATCCCAGACCCTCACCCCCCCCCCCCAGACTGGGGCGTCCTTTGTGGGGCCCAGGATAGAGTGGAGATGTGGGGCCCTTGTGCACATCCTGTAAAGAAAGCCCTTCCGGGAGTAGAATTTCAAGACGGTGACGACGGAGCTTTAAACCCAAGTGTGGGCCCTTTGGGACTGCCCAGGCTGCACCCCCCTGAGGCCGGCCCTGCACCCACATCCCCCCCTCCCGCCCTGGAGCACATGTGTTTCCATCTGAACGTGTTTGTGACGAGGAGGAGCATGAAGGCAGCGTGCCCTGCGCCAGGCGCCACCTGGAAGGCATTTTAAGTGCATTTAGGTCTGTTTCTGCTCACAGTCATTGCCTGGCCCGCAACCCCCTTTTGGCAGCAGCGGCCTGGGCCCCACGCGGATTCTGCGCTCTCCCCTGCAGATGTGCTCTGTGTGGGGCTGCATCAGCTTGGGGGCGGGGGCTCCCAGGAGCTCAGCTCATCCCAGCCCCTGAACCACTGGAAGGGCGGACCCCACACTGGATCTGCTCTGCCTACCTGGCAGGTGGACCTCTGGGCAGAGCATCTGCGTGTCCCCTCCTCCGCCGCCCCCCCCCGCTCCTCCCCCACGAGAGCCGTCTTCATGGCCCTCCTCGCGGGCTCACCCAGTGACCAGGCCGGGGCGTGTGTCCCAGCAGAGCAGGCTGGCAGCAGCTCTGTTGCCTCTCGTCACACACGCCTGGTCGCCAGCAGCCGCAGTGCTCCCAAGGAGGCCACCGCGGTGGGGGTGTCGGGCCTCCGGGGGACCCAGGCTGCCCAGGGACCTATGTGCTGTCTGGTGGACCCGCACCTGCCCTCCCCACACCCAGCCGGGTTCCCTGCAGCCCTGGGAGCTGGGGTCTCGGGCACATGCCCCTCCGCCGGCCAGGGTCAGCATCTCCCTTCCCTTTCCCGGGGCATTCCCAGCTCTCCCCACGGCCCCTCGGCAAGCAGGGCTTCCGGCAGCGTTAACGTAGGCGGAAATGCACACACCTTGGCTGTGCATTGCTGACCAGTGGATGTGCCCACATCAGGATACGGAGCCTCTGTGTCCCCAGAGCGTTCTCTCCTGTCCCTCCCAGTCTGCTGCCCCCAACAGGAAGCCAGTCAGATTTCCATCACCTAGAAGCAGTCCAGGTCGTGCCGTAGGTGTTGGTTTGTGCCTGACCCTTCACGTGGCCCGATGTCTGGGACTGCCCCAAGTCATCCAGCGTCGCTCGTCCACCCCTTTGAATTGCCACCGAGGACGCCTCCTGTGCAGACCCTGGCTGATGTGTTCCCCTAAGGGCCTGAGGCCGCCCTGGCTCAGGCTGTGCACAACCTGCCATTGGCGAGCAAGCTTCCCCTCCTCTTGGACAAACGGAGCGGAATTTCCGGGTCATGTGGTAGGAGAGCATCTACCTTCAGATAAAAATGTGTTTCTTATAAGGCACTTTCTTCATTTCTGGCCACACCTGCCTGCCCAGCCCGTGTGGCTGCGTCTTCTCCACGGGAAACTCCGGCTCCAGGGGACCTGTTCGGAGCCGGGGGGGGGGGGGGGGGGGGGGGGGGGGGAGCCCCGTCCACATGGGTCACGTGCTCATGGAGCAACGGTGGAGAATGGTTTTGCAGCTACTGTAGACTGCCTTTTCTTCCTTTTTCCGTTTGAAAGCAGTACATTTTCAGCTAATGTTTAACTGGACAAATAATTGTGTGTTGGTGTTCTTAGAGACGCAGATGAGAAAGCCCTAGTCGGTTCAGAGTCTTAAGTGAGCAAGTTTCCTTTATCCGTGAGCATCTTTTATCCCAGGGTGAACTGAAGCCGCTGGGAACGCCCCTGTGCCCAGGAGGCCTGCTCCTGGCTGCGTCCCCGCCCCTCACTCGATCCCCTGCTCCCTGCAGCCCCGCTGGGACTCTACTTCTCCCGGGACGCGTACTGGGAGAAGCTGTACGTGGACCAGCCGGCCGGGACGCCCCTGCTCTACGTCCACGCCCTGCGCGACGCCCCCAACGAGGTGGCCAGCTTCCGCCTGGGCCAGCACCTCTACGGCGCCTACCGCAGGCGGCTGCACGAGAACGACTGGATCCGCATCGAGGAGGACACCGGCCTGCTCTTCCTTCACCGGAGCCTGAACCACAGCTCCTGGGAGCAGCTCAGCCTGCGCAGTAAGGCTGCCCACCCGCCTCCTCCCCCACGCCCGCAGCTTGCCCACAGCACGCCCTCGCTGAGGCTCAGGGGGTCTCTGCTGTGTGAGAGGCAGGGAGGCTGACCTGACTCCGTGCCCAGGATAAGTTTGGGGGCAGCTGGTGGCCCTGGGCCTTCTGCTCTTCCAGGACTTGGAAGGACCATGTGAAGGATGGGGTGCTCTCTCCTCACTGGACCCAGGTGCCTTTACCGGTTAACAGGGATTTGGGGCTATGAGAGGGGTTATGAGGGGCTGGAGAATCCCAAGGTTTCTCTTTAGCAAACGACCTGGCTCTTGCTGGAGACGCAGCACTTTGCACAGACAGCCTGTCTCACCATCAGCAGCACGCTGCTCTTGGCACCTGCTGGGGACCTGGGTCGGGTGGAGCAGATGAATGATCTGGCCAGGCCCTCAGAGCTGGGGTCAGAGCCCGGTGGAGGCCGTGCGTGACCCTGGTACAGGCACGGGAAGGGGTGTGAAGCAGGGTAGTGCCTTGTGGCACAAAATGGTGATTGCACACCCAGTAGGTCCCCGCTGGGCCCTCACACCAGCCCTGAGCTGCCGTGCGCGGGTGAGAGGCAGGCAGCCCGTGAATGCCCGTGGGGGCCACTGCCCAGTAGGGCAGAAAGACTGCACCGATTTGCCAAGGAAAATCAGGGACCCCGAGTAAAGAGGGCACCCCAGACGGCTGGAGGAGGTGGTGTCTGAGAGGGTCTTGTTTATGCACGCAGTTGCCGTCACCTTCATCCCGGGGCCCCTGGGGGGAGGGGGCTGGCAGAGCAGGGCTTGGGTGGAGGCCAGAGTGGAAGTTGCTGCAGGCGCCGTCTCATTGGCCACCTCATCGGCAGCCTCTCCAGGAGGGCAGCCTGTGCACTGCCGGGGCCAGCAGGGGGCGAACACACACTCTCATTTCAACAGGGAACCTGTACAGAGAATTAGTAGCCTTGACGGGGATTGGCAATAAAACACAGGCTAGTGAGAGGCAAAGAGGAGTCAGGAGTACGGAGATGTGAGGGGCGGCCACTGCCGTGGCCGAGAGAACGGGTTCAGGAGGAGTCCCCCACCCAGCTGAGGTCCAGACCTCAGCGGAAGGGAGTCAGGGTGGTGCCTCCATCATGGAATTTGCTGGAGATCCCACCTCTGGGTGCAAGGCACTCTGTCCACATCGTGTGTCTGCGGGGGCTCCTGGAGGAAGCTGCCTGGGGAGGGTGTGGCGGCCTGGGGAGCCAGGGCACCCCGCTGAGGGCAGAGTTTGAGCCGAGACCTGAATGACTGGAAGGGTTGGCGATGATGAGTCTAGGCAGAGGAAGCAGACAGAGCCCAGGTGCAGGCAGTGGGGGCCAGCAGGAGGCGACGGCCAGGTCAGAGCTCCGCCGGGCCCATTGACCACAGTGAGGACTGACTTCCCACCCACCGGAGCTCCTGCCCTCCCCTCCAGCTCCGGCCGCCTGGCAGGTGTGGCTGACACCCTGGGCCCGGCCTCTCTCTCTCTGCAGACGGCGGCTTCCCCCAGCTCACCGTCTACCTCCAGGTCTTCCTGATGCCCACACCCCTGCGTGAGGGCGAGTGCCAGTGGCCAGGCTGCGCCCGCATCTACTTCTCCTTCATCAACGCCTCCTTCCCGGCGTGCGGCTCCCTCCAGCCCCGGGAGCTCTGCTTCCCGGACAGGGAGCCCTCCTTCCGGATCCGGGAGAACCGGCCCCCGGGCACCTTCCACCAGTTCCGCCAGCTGCCCGTGCAGTTCCTCTGCCCCAACGTCAGCGCGGCCTACAGGCTGCTGGGAGGTGAGTGCGGGCCTCGCGGCCGCTCCTCCGTGCCCGCTGTGTGCCAGGCGCAGGGACACGATGAATGGCCACCACGGTGTCCATTCATCTCGCGTCCCAGGAGGCCTGTGTGTGCCTCGGGGCCGGGCACCGTGCCCAGGGCTAAGGAGGCGACAAACCAGCAGAAGCCCAGCCTGCCTGGGGCTGCCATTCCTGTGGTGGGCGGAGAGCGGAGAGAGCGAACGTGAACTGAGGAAGTGGGGCAGCTCTGAAAGGGGCGAGGTGGGAGCCAGGAGAGTGGAGTGGCGGAGCTGCTGTCTTCAGGGGGACTCCACGGAGGGCATGCTGTGCGTGATGGGAGGTCAGAGAAGTTTCTGGGGAGTGGCCTGGGCTGCCCACTGAGGGACTGAGGAGTCTCGGAAGGCTTTTGAGGGGGCAGTGACAGGATCTAACTTACCGTTAAAGGGTTCGTTTGGCTGCTGTGTTAGGGGTGAAGCACCCACACAGGCTGCAGGGTTCTGTCTGAGCAGTTAGTTGTGAGGGCTGCGGTGTGGGGGAGGGAGTGTGGGGGAGGGGGTGTGATCCCCGTGCAGGTGAGCTGTGTGGTCACGTGAGAAACCATTTAAAGACAAGGAACAGGGACTCAAAAAAGGCCACAGAGGCTGGACTGCTGGTGTGTGGTACCTGGACTCACCCCAGGTTTATCACACACGATACTGATGTCAGAGACTCTCGGAAAAGCAAAGCCCATCCTTTGTCTGTCCCGGGCAGGGGTACGGATCTCTGCGAGCCTGTCCCCAGGCATATGGTTTAGCGCGCTGCTCCCGCTGGCAAAGAATGACACAGTTAAATTTTCTTTGTAACCATATCAGTAGAGGGAAACAGTATACGACACGCATTCCCCACATGTGTAATCCACATGTTACTATGTGGCTCTGATGGGAGAGACTTGAGATTTCCCACCAAGTGTCGGTGACGTCACCCTCCGGGCTGACCCCCCGCCCCCAGCATTCCCGGCCTCTGGGTGTTCCTGGAGGAGGAAGTTCCTGGACGGACTGGGTTGAAAAGTGTGTTGTCATTGCTGGCCCCCCCTCGCTGGGTTTTGGGAGGATGGGGAGTCACTAAATGCACAGCAGTGCCGGGGAGAAGCAGGCGTGCTAGTCTCATCCACTCATCCTCGGCGGGGGGGATGTTATCAGAAAAAACCACTGAAACCTGTAAAGAAGTTTGTGAGTTTATTTGAGCCAAACTGTCGACATATGCCAGGAAGCAGAACCTCAAGGAATTGAGGTAACGCTCCGGAGAATGGTGGGTTACATCTGTATTTATACATTGCAATCAAAGGAGGGGATGTAGGTGGGTCACATGAAATTCATTGGTGATGGATTAAGGAGGTGAGATAAAACAAAGCTGGGGAAACCCCTGGGGTTGGATAAAAAGTGAAATAAATGATGGGCACACACTTAGGTGGGTGCAGGAACAATAGACATGATAATGAAGGAATTTGTGGGATCTGTCCTGGCACTCACCACATTTGGTTGTGCCCCAGGGGCTCCAGAAAAAGGTTCGTTACAAGTTACCCAGATATTTCAAGGGTATGTTATCATAGATGCAAAAAGACAGATAGGCTCATTTAAGGTAAAAGTTGATCTTGTCAGTGAAGATACTGGCCTAGGATATAACTGCCCACCATCACTGCGTTTAGTTGAAGTTTAATTTCAGACCATCATCCTTTGTGGGGACTTTAGGTCTCTGAGTTTGCAAGACCTCCATGCAGGCCTCCCCTGAGCTGTCAGGTCAGCATGTGGCCCCTTGCGCCCACGCTAGGCACACAGCGACCAGCCCTGAGCCACTCAGCCCGGGGCTGCAGAGCAGGCTGCGAACCCGGCCGAGGAAGTATCTGTGTTCACAGCAAATCACTCGCTAGCTGTCCCCGTGTTTGTTTTCTGGTGGTGGGATTGTGCCTTGACTTCTCACGTTCTCTAAAATGAACACATATTACTTCCGTCACTTAAAAAAAACTAACATTGTCTTCAAAAAGCAGCAAGTGCTGGCAGCTGGACCTCTGGGCCTGCAGCCTGGCTGAGCGGATGCCACCCACAGCCCAGGCGAAGGGAGCGGGGCCCTCCCTGGGTGGTGAGATGGGACCTGCGGGGCCTCCCCGTCCCCATCCTCCATCCATCAGCGCCATTGCCGGCTGTGGCCGCAGGAGAGCTCAGGAGCACACAGGCCTGCACATGATGTCTCTGCTGAGCCAGAGCCGCTCCCCCGCAGCTCCTGCTGGGCCTCAGGAAGCAGCGCGGCCGTCCCAGCCCGGGTCACACTGGGGTTCCTGGTCTGCTTTGCGCAGGTGAGAACCTGCCCTTCCGCTGCGCCTCCGACAGCCTGGAGGTGAGCACCCGGCGGGCCCTGGACCGCGAGCGCCGGGAGAAGTACGAGCTGGTGGCCGCCTGCACAGTGCGCACGGGCGCGCGCGAGGAGGAGGTGCTGGTGCCCTTCCCCGTGACCGTGTACGACGAGGACGACTCGGCGCCCTCCCTCCTGGACGGCGTGGACACCGCCAGCGCCGTCGTGGAGTTCAAGCGGAAGAAGGTGTGTCCCCTTGCGCTTGCGCGTTGTCTGTGGGCCCATCTTATTAGTCCCTCTAGTCTTCCATTGGTAGGTTGTCAGGGCGTTCTGCCTGCCTCCGGGGCAACCTGGCCAGCTCCCAGCTGGCCCCTGACGGGGTGGCCAGGGCCCTGGGGACCCAGCCTGTGTCCCAGCAGGAGGGGGAGGCTAAGGGCCTGCATCTAGGGGCACACAAGTGCCCCCAGGAGGGAGAGGACGGCAGCTGGCTGGAGGGCGCTCCCTTCCACCGGCACTCAGTCTTCACCAGGTGGGGTGGGACGGCTTTGAGACTCTGGGAGAGTCGCCAGGGGTGGAGAAAGGCAGGGGTGGCAGGTGGAGGGGGGATCTCTGGGGGCCGCCCCGTCCATCCTAGCCCCAACCCTCTCTTGTACACAGGTGGAGCGCACCTGCCACCTGCTGGGCTTCAGGCTGTCCTGCAGCCAACCAGCCTGCAAAGGCACTGGGAGGGCGGGCAGGTGGTGAGGGGCCTGCCTGCCTCTCTGGGCACCGCAGGCCCGGGCTTGGTGAGAGTGCCATAAGGAAAGCACATCTCATGAGGAAATGTCCCCTGGCCCTGGCAGGGGTGACAGTCGGGGATTCCGTTCGCAAAGGTGTCCTGTGGCTTTGCCCAGAGCCGTCCTTACAGCCCTCTCCAGCCTGGTGGCCAGCTGCTGGGAGGAGAGTGTTCTGGTGGGCGCCTGGGCGTGGATCCGCCCTGCTGTGTGTCGCTGGGCAGCACTGAGCTGACCCCTCCTCCCTGCGGGTCCGGCTGGCTCGGGAGAGGAGCATTCGCCGTGCTCTGCGGGGGCCTGGCTGGGGCGTGTCTGCAGACCCCCGGCATCCGCTCTCACCCATCTGCACAGGCAGTCTGTGGGTTCCCACCACCTGTTCACAGGGGAGGCGAAGCACGTGGCCCAGGGAGGGTGACGGCTGGGGGGGCAAGGGGCCCTGTGGGGACGGGAGCCCCGGTCAGTCTGTCCCAGAGCCAGCTCTGTGCAGACCCAGTCCCCTGCAGGGGGCGTGCCCTCCCTGCATCTCAGGCGCAGGAGCTCTGACCGGCACCCCGTTTCCTGCAGGGCACTGTGGTGGCCACGCTGCATGTCTTCGATCCGGATGTGGTGCCGGCTTCCGGGGAGCTGCTGAGGCGGTACACGGGCACACTGCTCCCGGGAGACGCCTGGGCCCTCCAGACCTTCCGCGTGGAGCACTCCCCCAACGAGACCTTGGTCCAGGCCGACGGCGGCTTCATCCGGGCCACGGTGCACGACTACAGTAAGGGCTGGGCGTGGCCTGGGCCCCGGGAAATTGGCAGCCCCTGTTGCTGGTCAGGGAAGTCCCCTGCACACACCGACACCGAGCCTGGCCCTCTGAGTCCCAGACAACCCTTCACCCAGCCCCTGTCTGTGGCGGGCTCGCCGCATCCACTGTGGTGGGCTTGTACAAGCCGCCCTCTCTTCCTGAGCTGCCCCACGGCTGCCCCTGCAGGCCCACGCCTCTCCGTGCTGCCCTCGCCCGGCTCACTGCCCACTGCAAGCACACGTCCTCGCCCGAGTCCTTTCTCCGACCCTGGCACCTACTTTGCTGCCCTCCAGATGGCCGAGTGCCTGAGGATACTGCCCCTCCACCTTCTCGGCCAGCAGCTCTCCGCTGCCGCGCTCGTTGTGCACAGTAGCAGCTTCACACCGGAGTGGCGCCGGGGGGGGGGGGGGGCCCTGAGGCGTGTGCTGTCCGGCTCTGGAAGGGCCTGCAGGGCTGGGCCCGGGTGCTGGCAGTGCTCCCCTACACGCAGGGCGTTCTCCTGAGCTGCCTGGCCTCCCTGCCCCTTCCCAGCCCTCCTGCCCGCTTCCTGGGCTCACCTTTCAAGCACCCCTGCACCTGGGTCCTTGTTTGGGGATCCTGGGGACACTGGGGCCTTTTCCCCTTTCTTCCTGGCCTGGTCACGGTTCTTTCACACCCTCCCCTCCCCTACGGAGCCCTCGAAGGCTCCTGCCGTGTGCGGGAGACCTCCCCGCTCACTCTGGCCTCTGTGCCAGGCCCCACCTCCATCCTTCCTGTCCACGCCACAGCCTCGGCCATGGCAGGGGCGGAGTGGACTGGCTCCTGGGCCCGGGGCGTGGGAGTCCCGCCCCCCCGGAGGTGGCTGCTGCCGAGAGTTCTCAGGGAGGGGCCAGGAGGGCCAGCAGCCTGCCCAGGGCCTCAGTGGTGCCAGTCTTGGCCTCTTGTGTGCCCACACATCACACACAGTCCCAACACACACACATACACACCTCATACACACACCACACACACAGCACACACATAACCCACACACAGTACACACACATACTCCATACACAAACACACCCTCCACACACACAGTACACACACATACTCCATACACACACTGCACACACACACAGTACACACACATACTCCATACACACACCACACACACACACAGTACACACACATACTCCATACACACACTACACACCCCCCACACACACAGTACATACACATACTCCATACACACACTCTACACACACACACACACAGTACACACACATACTCCATACACACATACATATCCTCACACACACTACTCCATACATACCCTGTGCGCACAGACACACACACACACACACACACACGGTATGTACATACAATACTTTCTGTTCAGTACCACAGCTAACGTTTAAATAGGGGTTCTAACCTATTGCCAGCTGCCAGGTCTGTTACCTGCCCACCACCGTGTGTGTGTGTGTGTGTGTGTGTGTGTGTGTGTGTGTGTAGGTACATGTTGTCAGCCGTGGGCATGTGTGGGCAGCGTATGCACCTGGGAGGAGGCTGCAGCGCCTGGCCGTCATCACGGTGCCCCCTCCCGCAGGGCTGGTCCTCAACCGCAGCCTGCCCATCTCGGAGAGCCGCTCCCTGCAGCTGGCCGTGCTGGTCAACGACTCCAGCTTCCAGGGCCCGGGCGAGGGCACCCTCCTCCTGCACTTCAACGTGTCGGTGCTGCCCGTCAGCCTGCGCCTGCCTGGCGCCTACGCCTTCACCGTGAGCAGGCGGGCCCGCCGCTTCGCCCAGGTGAGCCTTCTGCCCGCCGCAGCCTGGGGGTGTGGAGGGCGGGGACTCCCTCGGGTGGGCGCTCCTCGGGTGGGCACTCGGTCTAGCAGATGGCAAGCCAGGCCGGGTAGCGACACCTCTCCCCGGGCTAACGCGTACATGGAGTGGCCCGGGAGGCGCTGAGGGGTGGAGTGGCAAGATAACTTGTCCGTTATCTTTGTATTTTGTTCTCTCCGTGGTTGGTGTCTGTAAGACGGCTCTGTACGAGGGTAAGAGCAGTGCCCAGCAGGTGTGTGTAAGCTGAGGTGGAGAGACGTCCCTGGCAGGTTGTTATGAAAAAGTGGTTACAGAAACGTTGGTCACGTAGCTCCACACGTCCAAAGCCCGTCCTCACGGATGGGCTGTATCACCGGGCCTTCCACTGGGCCCGGGGGAGAGGAGGCGCGCCACGTGCCTGCTGTAAGCACGTGTGCACCTGCCATAGGCACAGGACGATGGGAAGTGCAAACAATTAGAGTCGGCAGTATTCCTGAAAGAAGACCAATCAGACAGTGCTTAGTGCACATGTGTCAAACACAAGGCCCACGGGCCAAATCCGTCCCGCCAGGCCTTGCAATGTGGCCCTCACCACGCTGTCATCACTGCACTCCGCTGCGTTTCCATCACAATGACAGTTTATGACTGTTCAGTAAACCATTCGGCCCGCGATTTAGGCTGGATTTTAGGTTTTGGCCCCTTCTCTGATTGAGTTCGACACCCCTAGCTTAGTGTGTTGGTGCAGTTCTTTCTAGAACGTTTTGTGTGAGCACTTCTTAAGCTGACCTGAAATGGCAGCAGGATTGGTTTCACTTACTGCCCCCTCCTGGGGAGCAGCCGGGGTGTCATGGTTAATGCCATCTGTCGCCGTCCTGGTGGTCGTTCCTGGGGTTGGCTCCCTGGCCCTTCACCTCCAGCACTCCCTGGGCCCCCTCCCTTCAACACGTCCCAGCTCCCCAACTAGCCACCACCTGGGCCTTTCACGTTGAGGATGGGGGAGGTGACGAGGCAGCCCTCTGTTCCCAGGGTTCCAGCCAAGCCCAGGAAGGCCCTGGTCCTGGGTATAGCCAGGCCCTGTGCTCTGACCATGCGGTGGGCCATCCTGGCCACGTGCACCGGGGACAGGAACTGCTGGTCCCCAAGGCCAAACGCCTGGCCGGGCAGGGAGGGTAGGCCTAGGAGGGAGCCGTCGGCCTTTGTGCCTCAGGGAGGGGCAGTGAGGAAAGAGCCGGCACCTTAGTCCTTGCCTGGAGGGCCAGCGCTGACCCAGACTTCAGTGCCCGGCTCCCGGGCGCAGGGCAGGGGGTGGTGCGATGGCCTGGGGAGAGCAGGGCAGGGCAGGTGCTCGGGGACATGGGGGATGGGGAGTTCAGGGGCCGCTGCCATGCCCCGATGAGCAGGGGACTGTTCCAGGGCTCAGACCGCCAGGGGGTCCCTCCAGCCTCCCCCACGAGCCTGTCCACGCACCCCCTCTGCCTGCGCCTAGGTGGGGAAGGTCTCCGTGGAGAACGGCCAGGAGTTCACGGGCATCCCCCTGCGGTATGAGCTGCAGCTCGCCAGCGCCAACTGCAGCGCTCTGGGGGTGGTCACCTCGGCCGAGGACGCCTCGGGGACCCTGTTCGTGAACGACACGGAGGCCCTGTGGCGGCCGGAGTGCGCCCAGCTCCAGTACACGGTGGTGGCCACCGACCAGCCCACCGGCAGGCAGGCCCAGGGCCCGCTGCTCGTCACCATGGAGGGCACGTGTGAGTTCCGGGCCCCTGGGGGTGTGGGTGGGCGGGACGTGGTACTGCCGCGGGCTTCCCCCACAGAAGGCCTGCTCCTGCTCCCTCCCGCGGTGGGTGGCTGTCCTGAGCCTGCGTCTCCTTCCCTGAGCCTGAGATAAAATGAGAACAGCAGTGCACGCCGCACAGCCCAGCTGGCGGGATGAAGGGTGACGGGGCGTGGGAAACCGCTCCGCCCGGAGACACGGCGTAGCAGTCAGCACTGCTCCCATCACCCTGTTGGTGCATTCTTACGTGCACTTACTGCGGGACTGCCAGATAAAACGTGAATTTTAGGTTAAAAAAAACAACCTCTTGATGTATGTCCCGTGCAACCTCTGCAGAGTCTCTCAGAAGACAAGTCTTTAGGTGTGTCTGTCTAAATGTTAGGGACGCACTTACACAAAGCAGGTATTCATTGTTTATCTGAAACTCGGGCTTTAACCTTGTGTCCTTGGCCCCGTCATCCTCCCTCCGTACTCTCCCAGCCCGGTAGCTGTGCCCCCTTTGGCTGTGGTGCCCCCGTTTCCCAACCGCCCCATCACTCCCCTGCACCTGGTGCCGGTTACTCCCTCCCCCTGACTCAGCCCTTGGGTAAAGCAGGGCCAGTGCTGCTCTGGCCCTGGGAGCCGGCTGACCCTGTGACCTGCTTCCTTCCACCCGCAGACACGGCCGAGGAGCCAGGCTGCCCCCTGTCCTGCGCCGTCAGCAAGAGGCGGCTGGAGTGTGAGGAGTGCGGTGGCCTGGGCTCCCTGACAGGCAGGTGCGAGTGGAGACAGGGAGACGGCAAAGGTAGGCCCCACACAGAGCCGGGACCTGCGGGGTGGTGAGGGCTGACTGGAAGACGGGTCTGTGCAGGTCCTTCTCATGCCTCCTCTCTTCCCCAGAGCCCGGTCCCACCCATGGCTCCTGTGCCAGGAGGTGGGCATGAGCCCAGGGTGTGGGTGGCATGAGGACAGTCAGGCTGGGCATGTCAAGGGAACAAAGATGGCTGGGGCTGGATTCTCTTTGGACTTGGGAGGGTCTGGGCCACAGCTGGGATGTGAGGGGACCAGGAGGCTGTACCCAGGAGGTCCCAGGCCAGGCGGCGGATCCCCAGGCAGGGAGGGCCTATGCTGCGGACAGCAGCCAACTCCAAACTGCACCCACCACTGCAAGGACCCTCTGGCAGGGCAGCCTTGAAGGGGGCTCGCCTTGTCTGGCTTCTGGTCCCCTGGGCACAGCCCCTCCATCCCTCACCACCTACCTGTCCTTACCCATTCAGCACCCCAGCCACTTCTCAGGGACGCCCCTGCTGGTGGGGCTGATGGGTGGGAGTTTTAATCCTCACCCAAAGGACATGTTTTTGATGATTTTAGAGAGGAGGGGAGAGAGAGAGAGAGAGAGAGAGAGAGAGAGAGAGAGAGAGAGAGAGAGGGAGAAACATTCATCAGTTGCCTTCCATTCAGACTGGGGATAGGACCCACAGCCGTGTACAGGCTGGTGCTCCAACCGGCTGAGCCCCCCGCCAGGGCTGCCTGGTGGATTTCACTGCTCAGCCTGGGAGGGGCTGGGCTGTCCCTGGAGGCCCTGGGTGCCGCCCGCCCTCCTGGCTGTGAACGGGAAAGGCTGGCCAGGGCTGCGCCCCGCAGGCAGTGACTGCCCACCGTGCGTTGCAGGGATCTCCAGGAACTTCTCCACCTGCTCCCCCAGCATCAAGACCTGCCCCGACGGCCACTGTGATGCCGTGGAGAGCAGCAACCCCCATGTCTGCCCCCAGGACTGCCTCCGTAAGCACCGCGGGCCTGCCCCGTCGGCCGCAGCCTGGACGGCCCTGGGAGGTGGGGGGCGCGGGGGAGGCCTGGATGCCCACCTGCACTCCACCTGACCAGCCACGTCCTGGGTTTGTGTCCCCGCCTTTGTCTCATGCTGTATTTGAGTGAAGGGCTCTGCCCCCCTCAAAACAACACTGGAGCTAGGTGCCCTGACCCAGTGCCACCCTGGCCAACTCACAGGCATGCAGCTCCCGCCCCTCAATCTGCTGGTCACCCCTGCTGCCCCTTCTCCGCTCCTGGAAAGCAGCCCTGTGTGGCCCTTGGCAAGGTCCCTGGGCAGCCTACGGGCTCCTCCCCTCACCTGCGGGACCAGGGAACTGCTTGGGTCATGCTGAGGCTCCTGTCCAGATGACCGGACTTCTGAGCTCACTCCCCAACTCCCATCCCCCCCACACCCACCCCACCCCCCGCACCCCACCACATCAGACAGGTGCGTCCCTCCCACACTCCCCTGGGTGGCCCCAGGAGGCTGAGCGGCTTCCTCTGTCCCCAGGGGGCAGCATCATCGGGGGGCACGAGCCAGGAGAGCGCTGGGGGATCAGAGCCGGCTTTGGGACCTGCAACTGCTTCCCTGAGGAGAGGAAGTGCTTCTGTGAGCCCGAGGACAGCCAGGGTGAGTGGGGGGCCCGTGGGGGACGGGCTCCCTGTACCTCCCCACAAGCCAGGGAGGAAAGTGCATTGGGCAGTCGCCCCGGAGACCCTCCTCTTCCCCCTGGGCCTCTGCTCCCCATCTTCGCAGGCAGGGAGCTAGGCCAGGGCCTCCATATCGTGCCTTATAACCCCAAATTATGCGACAGGGGTGGACCGGAAAATTACTTCTCCCGCCAAATAACTCCGTGGCTGCTCCACGTGTCCCCGTGCAGGGCCTCGGCGGGGCCCGGCGCTGGCCAGCTGGGGCCCCTGTCCCGGCCAGAGCTCGGTGCTTTCTCCGGGACAGCCTGTGTGGTGGGCGGCACGGTTCACTGCGCGCCTGGGCCCGGGGATGCGTCTCTGTTTCTGGCACTCGAGTTGTTACTGAACGGCCCGCGGTCCTGAGCCACTCTCCTGCCCTCACTTTTTTACTAAAAACACAAAGGTGTCGGGAACGCAGGACGTCACCTCCCTCAGCCCTCCAGGCCAGCTGACTGCAGTGCAGCGCCCCCTCTCTGCCCCTGTGTGCGCTGCCCCTGCTGCGTGGCCTCGGGCCGGCTGCGGACACACTCCGTGCCTCTCCTGCTCCCGGCGCGTTGGCGGGTACTCTGTTCTCCTCCCCGCGCCTACAGCACTGGCCAGCCGCTCACAGTGTGTCTCGGCAGCCACAGTTCTCCGGGCCGGAGGCTGTGCGTGCCGGCTCCCCTCGGGATTGGGGGGCCTTCGCGTGTGTCGCTCACGGCCGCCCCCCCGCCGCCCGCAGGCCCGCTGTGCGACGAGCTGTGCCGCACGGTGATCGCGGCCGCCGTGCTCTTCTCGTTCGTGGTCTCCGTGCTGCTGTCCACCTTCTGCATCCACCGCTACCACAAGAACGCCCACAAGGCGCCCATCGCCTCGGCCGAGATGACCGTGCACCGGCCGGCCCAGGCCTTCCCGGTCAGCTACTCCTCGTCCAGCGCCCGGCGGCCCTCGGTGGACTCCATGGAGAACCAGGTCTCTGTGGACGCCTTCAAGATCCCGGTGAGGCTCCCTGTGGGGCTCCCGGAGGCCCTGCAGGTGGCACTGGCCTCGGGGGGCTACGGAGGGGAGGGCTGCCAGGGGGGGGGCATGCTATACTGCAACCACAGGCAGCTCGTGAGGGTCCAGCAGTCCTGCCTCCACCGAAATGACTCCAAGGGAGGGTGGGGCAGGAGCAAGGAGGCAGTTAGTTAGTGAGCGAGACTGGTGGGTTCTGATTCAGACGGACTGAGGGGTGGCCCCGAGCATACAGTGAGGGCAGCCTGTGACACCTGCCAATGCCCGAGGACTTGGGGGTCCCGCAGGGTAGGGACCCCAGGGGGTGGGGGGTGGGCAGAGGAGGCCTGTGGTCTGCCTGTATTTCCACAGAATGCTCTGGTGAGGCGTCTGTAGGGTGGGTGCAGAAGTGGGAGCCGGGGATGAGGCACTGTCCCTGTGCAGGTGAGAGATGGTGGCGGCAGCAGAGCGGGGAGCCCTCTGTGGCGTGGGGGCCACCTGTACTGGAGCCAGCCCTCGGCTCTGCGACCAGCCAGCTGACAGAGTGCCAGGCAGAGCCAGTAGGCATCCCAAGTCCCCTTCTCGGTGGGAGGAGCCGGGTCTGTGGTCACCGTGGGCTCCTCAGGGCCCCTGCTGGCCAGGCCTCCTCTCTGCCCGCCATGCCCCCTAACGTTCTGGCTGGGAACTGCCGGAGGAGCTGGGAGCAGGTCTGGGGGCACTGAGGTCAGTGCTGGGTGGAGGGTGTAGGAACAGAAGGTCAGCCTCAGTGTGTGGACCTTCAGGCAGGAAGCTCAGCACCCAGGGGCCGCAGGGTTCTGGCCGGCACAGCCAGGACGGGCGGTGGCTGGGTTTGCAGCAGGAGCCATAGAGGGGGTGCTGGCCCCTGAGTGAGGGTCTGGGCCAGAGAGGCTGTTCCCAGCAGCAGCCGCCACTGCAGCCTCCCTCCCAGCCTTCCTACTTCCAGCCCCGCAGCAGGTGGGGGCTGCAGCCCTGCCCGGCAATGTCTCAGCTTCCACAGAGGCCTCTGGGATGAGCCACGCGATTCCTCTATCTACCCTGGGAGTTGGCAGTGAGGCCACGGGGAGAGGGGGCTCATGGTGCCCGAACGGGTGGACCCGCCTGCCTCGGCCCACGCCACCTGCTGCCCAGAATGCAGAGCGACCAGAGCCCGGCCTGAGGCCTCAGGGCCACACTGCCCAGCTCTGAGGCACCTCAACCGCTCACCTCCGTGTGCTGACATACAAACGAGGGAGAGTGACGTTTAATATTGTTAAGAAGATGAAACTGGTGACAGCCGTGCGTGCTCGGTCTCTGTAGTAACTGCAATTCCCAGGCAGTGTGAGGTGAGGGCTCCAGGCAGCGGTGACAGTGCTGTCCACTCTGACTGGGTTCCTGGGGAACCTGAGACAGCACCAGGGCTCCGCCCGCCCGGGAGCAGCTGGAAGGCCCTGGCCATGGTGCTGAGAGGAGGCTGCCTCTGCACCCAGAACCAGAAAGCCTGGGTCTGGTCGCTGCAGGGGCAGCGAGTGTCCAGGGTGTAAGCTCAGTGGGCTGGGGGAGCCCGGTGTGGCACAGGGTGGGCAGCCCCCAGGAGCCACGTCCACGCCCGGCTGCAGGGGGACTTGGGAGGGGAGGGTCCAGGCCGACGTGGGCATCCCAGTCAGAATCCCAGGGCGCAGGCCAGGGGAGGTGTCTGAGGAGGCATCCTGAGAGGTCTTGAGTATGAGGGCAAGGTGTGTGCGAGGGGAACATGACAGGCAGGTTTGTGCAGGCTCAGAGCGATGGCCAGCTCCGGGGAGGAGCAGCCTCCTCCACAGGCTGCCGGGAGGCTCCCCAGGAGCACAGTGGCACCCAGCCTGGGGCTGCCACGCAGGGAAGTTGCCCTGGATGCTCTCGTAGTGACTTGGGCCTTGGCAGGTTCCTGGCATCTGGAGAGGGCTCAGCCCAGTGAGGGCCTCGTGGGCCTGGTGTCCAGGGCAGAAGCAGCTGAGAGGACTGGACCTGGCTCCAGGGAAGAGGCCTTGTTCCCACGTGAGCACCTGTCGTGCTCAGTGAGCCCCGAAACACCTCATTAGAGAGACGAGGACGCGGGCCCAGGGTGGCCCTGGGCATGGCATGTTCAGTGAACTGGGACCAGTAAGGGTACAGGCATGCAGAGAGGCCAGGCCAGTCGGCGGCGGCACCTGCCTCGCCCTGGCGGAGGCCTGTCGTGGAGTGGCACCTCTGGGCCCAGCTGGGGGGGTCCTGCCCGCAGGGACGTGGGTGACGGTCTGTCCCCTGCGGGTCCAGGTCACAGTCAGTGCCTCACGCCAGAGCTCATGCTCTGGGACTTGCTCCTGGGTCTGGCCTCATTCTTCTCCTCCTCCCCTCACCATCTTCCTCCCTCCCCTCTCCCCCCACTCCTCCCACCCCGATGCAGGAGGACCCCAAGTGGGAGTTCCCGCGGAAGAACTTAGTTCTTGGAAAAACTCTGGGAGAAGGCGAGTTTGGAAAAGTGGTCGAGGCAACAGCCTTCCGGCTGAAAGGCAAAGCCGGGTACACGACAGTGGCCGTGAAGATGCTGAAAGGTACCTCCCTGTCCAGGCAGCACACGGGGGCTCTGCCATGCACAGTGACGGAGCCCCAGGGGTGGATGACACCACCCGACAGCCAGCTGGCACCGTGCTGGCACCTCCTCAGGAGCCTACAGGGCTGTTCTTTTTTTTAAAAAAAAATGTATATTTTTTATTGATTTCAAAAAGGGTAGGGGGAGAGAAAGAAACATCAATGATGAGAGAGAATCATTGATCGGCTGCCTCCTGCACACCTCCTATTGGGGATCGAGCCCAAAACTCAGGCATGTGCCCTTGACCAAAATCATCCTGGGACCCTTCAGTCCGAAGGCCGACACTCTATCCACTGAGCCACACCGGCAAGGGCCAGGGCTGTCGAGTGGCTGCAGTCTGGGGACCCCACACATCATAGACGACCTGGGTCGGTGGTTCCTGGAGAAGCAGGGTGAGGACTTTCCTCCCTTGGAAGGTTCTAGAGTGGTGTAGCTTCTATACCAGTTCCCAGCGTGAGGCACATACCCCACAGGGGGCAATTTGATTTTCAAGGGGGAAAATTCAAGAAGGAGTTAACAACAGTGAAGTTTTTGCATTTCTTATGGTTCTGGGGGCCTCATATTTAGTATATAAATATACATTGTGACATATTTATGCATTTCAGTTCTCCATTATGTTTTGAAACTTTGCTATTTTTTCATATAACTTAATATTATTATTATTTTTTTAACAATTAGTGATTTTTTCCTCAGTACTTCAGCTGTCTTTTCATTCTTTCATTTGTCTCTTTCATGGATGCCATGTACTTTGGACGCTTGTTTAGACCAGGTTAATGGCCTTTTAGGCTTCCTCCACGTGAATAGGAGTTCACTTTTTGAATAATATATGTCACAGGGAGTCATCAGGATTTTAGAAATGCTTAGGTGGGGCATGGCCAAAAAAAGGTTGGGAACCACAATTCTATACCAACATTCTATACTCGGGTAAAGACCTGAGTTTTAAAATAGTTGTAAAGCCCTTTGTTGAACTGCTAGCTCTTCCCGCCTCACTCTGCCCCGTTCATTCCTCTCAGCCAAGTGTCTGCTGGGGCCCTGGAGGAAAGGCCTCCTGAGAGGACTGGACACCCCAGTGACCGGTTGTGCCACAAGCTCGGCTCTGAGCGGGCACACACCCAACCACACAAACTCATTTTTCTCCAGAGACCGGGCAGAGGGCCCTCTGCCATGGCTGGGCTCTGGCCCACGTGGACTGACAAGGTCCCAGAGGCAGTGGTGGGCGAGACCTGGCTGGTGCACAGTCGGGCGCACATGCCGTGCTTCCGGATGCTTCCCCAGGCCCTTAGGCTATGTCAGCCTTACCTGGGAGATCCCATGCCACACGTGGGCACAGTGAAGCCTGCCCAGGACCCGCCATGTGTGGTATAGGGGTCCTGATTCCTGATGCCCCATCTCCTCTCGCTTCCAGACAAGTCTGCACCACGGCAGGGGCATGGCACAATTGAGCAGTGGGCTATGGGACACTGACTCAGAATACCTCCACATGGGGCTCCCACTCCTGATGGGACCCCAAACCCAGCCCTCCCACTCTCAGGATGCATGCCCTCCTCCTGGCAGGAGACTTCCATAAGATCTGTGGCCTTTACCTTCCTCCAGGGCTTTGCCCCGGTGTCCAGTGCTTGGTCATCAGGTGTTTGGGGACATCAGGGGGCCCCCTTTCCTTCCCAGAGGATTAGTGAGGGGGTCTGTGTGCACAGCTGTCTTTGAAAGATGGTGATTGCAAGGAAGGAACTCCACTTAACACCCAGCCCAGAGGCTGGAGGCTGTCCATGGGATCCTGCTCCGGGATGGAACGTTGCCTCCTGGGGTCCCTATTTGCGGGGGGCAGAGGAGGCTCCGAGCTGTGGAGTAGTGGGAGGGGATCTGAGCAGGCGGGGATCTGCAGATGTTACTGCTGCGGGCCCAGGGACCTGCGTGGTCACAGATGGGGCTTCCAGAGGGATGGGTTTGCAGCCCTCCTGCCTACCTGTGTTTCAGAGAACGCCTCCCCCAATGAGCTGCGGGACCTCCTGTCAGAATTCAACCTCCTGAAGCAGGTCAACCACCCCAACGTCATCAAGCTGTACGGGGCCTGCAGCCAGGACGGTGAGGCCAGCCATAGGACAGCAACTCTTCTCCCTCCCCTCTCCTCCTCCCCTCTGGCCCCTGTTCTCTGTCCCAGAGCCCCCCTCTCCCCTCTTCGCCCCTCCCCCCGGTGTCAGTGAGAGGGCTGGGAGGGGCTGCCCCAGGAGCATGAGGCCAGCGCCCTAGGCCCGCTGGGCTGCCCAGAGGCCTCTGGTAGCATCCTGGTTGTTGGCGCCCTGCTCCAGGGAGCGCCCCCAGGTGAGGAGGAGCTCCAGAAGTGGATGGTGCCTCCTAGGCACCTCCTGGGGACCAGGCATGCTGTGATCACAGGTGACCCCAGCCTGCATGACAAAGGCATTGCCACCTAAAGACACCGAGACCAGCCACCAGGGGCCTATCACTGCTTGTGCACACATGTGTGCATGTGTGTGTTGGGGTGTGAGGGGACAGGGAGCCAACAGGGAGAGGGCAGCAGGGATGCCGGTCGGTGCCAGCAGAACTCAGGCCTGGGAGCTGCTGAGAGCAGGCAGGAGCAGAAAGCAGGCGGGCCACGTGCGATCAGACCCTGCCGCTATCGGTCACTCTCAGACGGTGCTGGGCCAAGGCCGGGGATGAGGGAAGGCTGGCACCCTGGCCGCGACGGTGTGCAGCCCCGGGAAGCACAGGAGCCGCCAACTCAGGCCCCCTGGGATAAGGTCACGCTCAACCGCCCAGGCAGCGGCTTCCGCGCGGGCCTCAGAGCGAGAGCCAGTGATGTGAGCATGGGCTGGGACTTAAGTCCTGGAGCCGCCTGGCACCCAGGCACTTACCGCCCAGAGCAGGGCGGGGTCCCTCTGCTGACTGGCCGGGAGGGGGCAGAGCTCCCCTGAGGGGGCCTGCGTGTCCTTCCCGTGCTCTGGGGGGCGCCCAGGGCCTGGTAGGCAGCCAGCCCACAGCCCCCTCTGCCCCCAGGCCCGCTGCTCCTCATCGTGGAATACGCCAAGTATGGCTCCCTGCGGGGCTTCCTGCGAGAGAGCCGCAAGGTGGGGCCCGGCTACGTGGGCAGCAGAGGCAGCCGCAACTCCAGCTACCTGGACAACCCCGACGAGCGGGCGCTGACCATGGGCGACCTCATCTCCTTCGCCTGGCAGATCTCCCGGGGCATGCGGTACCTGGCGGAGATGAAGGTGGGCGCCGCCCCCGCCCGCGCCCACGCCCCCGCCGCCTCGCGGGGCCTGGGCTTCAGGGGTCCCCGCTCTGTCCTCCCTGCAGCTCGTCCACCGGGACTTGGCGGCCAGAAACGTCCTTGTGGCCGAGGGGCGGAAGATGAAGATTTCGGATTTCGGCCTGTCCCGGGACGTGTATGAAGAGGACTCCTATGTGAAGAGGAGCAAGGTACCCGGTCTTGGAGGGGGGGTGCATTCCGGAGGCCCCGGGTGTGGCAGGGCAGCGGTCAGGGTGCCCACAGGGTGGAGAGGATAAAGCGGGTTTTTGAGTATAAACTTCGAGCCCTCATCCCCAAACCCTTCCCTGACGGTGGGTCCCCAGAGGCCCAGTACAGGACCGATCCCTGAGTCTGTCCCTCTCTCCCTTGGGGCTGGCTGCTGAGGGCCGGGTGCCAGAGCTCCTCTCGCTCTCCATCACTGTCCCTTCCGAAGGCCGCCTGCTGCTGTGGACACAGCCCTCTTTGAATGACGGCCCTGGTTCCATCCTGTGTGGCTCAGCTCTTGGGCAGAGGACAGTGGTGTGGCCGTCCGTTGTAGAAAGGCACAGGCGTGTCACAGGTGGAGGTCCTGGGACGGGAGCTGGGGGCCTGGGTGAGATGGGAGGCACAAGGAGGGCCCTGGAGAGGGCCCAGAGACTTAGCACAGAGTCGTCCTCGAAACGGCCAAAACGTGCAAACTCAGGCCGCCGAGAGCACAGGCTGCAGGCCGCGTTGTTACAAACACGGGCCCTTCAGCAGGGATGCGAATCCTAAAGAAAGCTTTGAAGGAACGGGGGTCATGGTAAATGCTGCGTTGGAAGCCACTGTGCATCCTCCAAGCCTCCGGGGGAATCTGGCTCCTGGCGTGGCCTGGCTTCCATGGCATTGGTCGTGGGCCTCTTGGTTGTGTGGCCGCTTCGCCTCTCCTGCAGCCTCCCTCCCCCCAGCCGACCAGCCGGGCTCAGCTCGCCGCAGGCCATTCAGGAGTCACCGCTGACCCGACATGCACAACAGGCGTCACTCAGAAGAATAACACACAGAGCGGCCGCACGCGGCGTCACCCTGTGAGGGTGGGGCCCCTGTGGTCACAGGCTGTTTCGTTCTTGCTTGGGTTTCCGTGGTGACGGCTCATCTCGGCGCTGCCGAAGGGGAAGTGGAGGGGGCATCCCGCCCTGTGGAGGGATGTGGACAGAGCCTTCCTGTTGTTGCTCTGATCCTTCAAGGAGGCCCTGTGCCGCCGAGCAGAGAAGCAGGAGGGGTTCAGACACGGGCCCGAGAGCACAGGCCGCAGGCAGCGTTGTCACAGGCACGTGCCCCGGACACAGCCCCGCTTCCTCAGGGGCGAGCATCCTAAGATGCTTTAAAGAAAAAGGAGGTGCAGCAACTGCTGCATTAGAACCCACTGCACACATTTTAAAGTGGATTTCTGCCTCAAGACTTACCTGCTGAAAGCTCTTCATCAAGTGGCATCGGGGTCACTTCTGGTCAAATGGCAAAGCGGGTACCTCCTGCTCGCCTCCTCCCACTGCCACATCTACACACAGCGAAGTTACAGAACCGCCACCCTTCAGAACCCCCTGAGGACTCGCTGGTGAACAGAACTGTGGCCGAGGGTGTAAGGAAGCAGCCATGAGAGCGGTAGGAGGGGTGGAGACACGAAAAGGGCTGGTCCCACACCCTGTGCGGCAATTAAGAATTGCGAGGGATATCTCAGCTGCAGAGGGCCCCCCTGGAGAGTGAGGGTCCCAGCCCTGCACCAGGCCCCCAGCCCGGATCATTAGTGCCGGGAAGAGCAGTCCCCACAGCTGCTGGCTGTGAAAATACGCGAATTCTGTCCAGGTGAGAGGGAGGGCTGCTGTAGGCCCATGTGTCCTCTTAAAGGGCCCGAGCACAGACTCACTTGCTCACACACACTCTCCAGAGCTCCAGCAAAGGGACAGCAGCTCGAAAAATGCCAGGGACAAACAGGGAGGAACTGGAGTATCTGGCTTCAGGCAACGGCTGGAGGGGCAGCTCTCCCCTGGAGCAAAGGGCCTGCAGGCGCCATTATTGCCTAGCTGAGCCCTCCTCCAATCCAGCCTGCAAGTGCAGCCGGGCTCAAAGTCTGAGTCTCCGTGAACCACTCCACCTGATGATTCTCCTCCCGGCCAGGCCGAACCTCTTTCAGAGGCTAATCCACAAGTTGTTAGCCTGGGCTCTCTCTGGAATTTTCTAAAATCTCTTGAAGGCCTACAAACCCCAAACGAGAAGCATCTGGCCTTGGTGTGCTGTTGGTTAAGCAGCCCCAAGCCCGGCAGTGGTGGTAACCAGCCTTGGTTCGCAGCATAACCCAGGTGCTTCCAAGCCCAGAATAGGAAGCTACCAACCAAAAGTCACTTCCTAGCTTCTCCCAGGTGGTCCAGGCCAGATACAGGCAGCAGCTGCCTCGGCCTGTACTGGAGCCCCAAGAGACTCCAGAACCAACACACCTGGTGGCTGGCTTCAGACCACTCCAGAACACCCCTCAATCAGCACTACAAACATCACACCCAAAAGGCGGACGTGGCCCGTGTCTGAGCCCCACTGCAACAAAATCTCACTCCTGGGGTCCGCCCTCACATGCCCGCTCATCCACTATAGTCATAGCCGGTCTTCACGGCCGGTCAGCATGAGGGTCAGTCCCAGCACTGACATGCCAGCAGCAGTCAAGACTTAACTATAACAGGAGGGCACACAACCCTGAGAGCGTCTGGCTCAGGTAAACCGGGGGACTGTGCCACTGGGCCTCAGGACACCTGCTACATAAGACCACTCTGCCAAGACCGGAAGACATAGCAGACCCACCTAATACATAGGAACAAGCACAGGAGACAGCCAGAATGAGGAGACAAAGCAACGCGTCCCAAGTGAACAAAACTCCCGCTTTACTGGAGGCTGAGTTCAGAACACGGGTCATAGGGATGCCCAGGGAGCTTGGGGGAAGAATAGATGATCACAGAACTTCAACAAAGAGGAAACATAAAAAAGGAGATAGAAATCATTTTTTTTAAAAACGGTCAGAAATGGAGAACACAATAACTGAAATTAATGCACTAGATTGAATCAACAGCGGATTGGCTGAAGCAGAGGGTCGAGTCAGTTCTTTGGAAGACAAGGCATTGGAAAGCACCCAAACAGAGCACCAAAAAAAAAAAAAAAAAAAAAAAAAACCCAAAATGAGGATAGCTCAAAGGATTTGCTAGGTCTGACCCGCCCCAGCACCTCTGCAGTGAGGGGTACTCTTCCAGAGGATGCTCTAAGACACATGTGTCAAACACAAGGCCCGCGGGCCAAATCCGTCCCGCCAGGCCTTGCAATGTGGCCCGCACCGCGCTGTCATCACTGCAGTCCGCTGCGTTTCCATCACAATGACAGTTTATGACTGTTCAGTAAACCATTCGGCCCGCGATTTAGGCTGGATTTTAGATTTTGGCCCCTTCTCTGATTGAGTTTGACACCCCTACTCTAAGAGCCCTGGCATAAAATAAGAGGCAAAACGCAGCCTCGAGGCCCATAAACAGATTGCTTCCTTAGAGCTCCCAGGAGAGCAGTGAGTGTGCTGCTTTGCATCAGAATCCCAAGATAGCCGTGCTGGTTCCCCAAAGTCACTCATCCTCAGAAGTCAGGGCAGGTCTTGCTGGATGGAGTTCTTGGCCCACCAGCTGGGCAGCACCACCCGGGGCACCCCAGAGCTCCCCAGATGTGGCTGCGGGGGGCCTAGGTAGGGCTTGGTATCAGTTCCTTCGGTTTCTTCTCAGCAGGAATGTGGTGCTTGACAAGCAAGCCTGTGTATCGGTGGGCAGGCCAGCTGACTCCCTCTGGCATCTCAGCTGTGCCCAGGAGGGCCAGGCTGGACCCCAGGCCCTCTGAAGCTGTGTGCCCTTCTGTACCTGGGAGCACTCTGGTGCCATCACTCGGCACCCCCAGAGCTGGAAGTGCCTGAGACGGGGCCTCGCCCTCCTGCACACTCCCCTCCTCTGGTTCCCAACACCATTAATGTGCTGCTTTCACTCCCCCTTTAGGGCCGGATTCCAGTCAAATGGATGGCAATCGAGTCCCTGTTTGATCACATCTACACCACCCAGAGTGATGTGTAAGTGTGGGTGTGCCCTCCTGGGTCACGTGTCAGGGGGACTGTGCCGCCTGCCTGGGCAGCCAGCTGGGAACAGCGCGGGCCCTGAGGGCCTGTCCCCGTGTGCCGAGCATCAGCAGCGAGCCCCCTCCCCCCAGCCTGAGGGAGCTTCGTGTCCTCAGCCAGTGCCAGGGCCCCGGCGGGGGTTCTGAAAGCCCCAGGAACCTCCACGAGAGCAGTGAGCAGTGGCTGCACATCCCGCTGGCCTCCCCTCCTCTCCCTCCGGTGGGAGTCTCAGTGACACACGGGCTCAGCCCAGCAGGTAGTTCCCTCCCGTGGGCCTGCGCAGGACTGGTTCCCGCCTCGGGGGAACGGCCTCGGGTGAGCTCCGTGCGCCCCAAACTGCTCAAAGGCAAGACCCAAACTCGGTCTTCCAGTCAAATGACAGACGTGACGGTTTTTCCAAAGACACAGCAGGCCTCTTGTCTTAAGTGCTGGGCCACTAAGCTGTGCGCGCCTTGAGCAGTGAGGGCTGTGAAAGGGCTGGTCTTACGGTTTTAAACGACTGCTCTCTGACGTGGGAAGCTGGCCCTGAGGCAGTCGGGGAATTCAAAGTAAAGCCTGGTGAAGAGACTGAGTCACAAGGACCCCACCAGCCGGGTGACCACTGGCTCACGGGCGTGGCCGCCTCGTGGTCTCCGAGGAGCGCAGGTGTCTGCTGCCCGTCCCCGTGAGTGGGCTCGTGTGATGATGCTGTGTGGTGATCCGGTTCTGTCCCCACTTCACAGTAACGCCTCCCTCACAGTTAAGTGTGTTCGTATAGCCGTGCTTTTGTTCTTCCTCAGACTTTGTTAAAATCCCAGGCCCACGGAGCAGGTGGAGGAAGTGTGCCGGGAGCCTAGGCCCATGGCCTGGGCCCAGCCTGCATTCTGCTGCACTTCCTGGGCCGTTCTGGGTGGTGCCACCCAGATGCCTCAGTGACCCACTGCCTGGGCCTGCCCAGCGCCCCCTGGAGGTGTGGGGCTGAGCTGGGAAGCCTGGCAGCAGCGGGCCCAGGGGGAGTCGGGCTCTCTGCGGTGGCAGTAGAGGCTCTGGGCTGGAGGGCCAGCAGCTGCGGGGGGACGGATGTCAGCTCCCCAGAGGGCCGGGCAGGCGTGGCGCAGCCGCTCACTGCTTGTCGTGCTCCCGTAGGTGGTCCTTTGGTGTCCTGCTGTGGGAGATTGTGACCCTGGGGGGCAACCCGTACCCGGGGATTCCTCCTGAGCGGCTCTTCAACCTCCTGAAGACAGGCTACCGGATGGAGCGGCCCGACAACTGCAGCGAGGAGATGTGAGCAGCTCTGCTTTGGCCCCGCCTCCCGCACGCAGACCCGGGGTTGGGAGGGCAGGGCACGGGCACACTCCCCTCCTCTCCTGGCAGCCCTGGGCACCAGTCTGCGGTGAGCTGGGGGTGGGGAGTGACGAGCAGAGCGTGACAGGGCAGAAGCCACAGAACTCCCCGGGCATGGCAGCAGATGCTGAGGATCCAACTCCACTGGGGGCTGGGTGGGCTTCCTGGGGGGACCTACAAGGATGAGGGGGAGCAGAGCCCAGAGAGGGGTGTGGGAAGGATGCGATCAGACTAAGAGCAGCTGAGCCCAAGGCCAGACGCCTGTGCCTGCAGGTCGCTGGAGCGGGGCAGGTAGCTCAGACTGGCCCGTGGGGTACACATTGGGGAGTGCCCAAAGGGAAGTGCAAAGGTAGGAAGGGGTAGGCCAGCAGCGCCCAGGGGCCAGCCTTCCCGCACGGAGGTCCTCGGGTGACTCACAGCACGGGTGGAGAGCACATGAGAAAGGAGTTGTCTGCACGCAGACACGGGCTGGCATGTTTACTCCTCCAAGTCCACGTGCACTTGCCACGTGCCCAGCCCAGGGCTAGAAGGGTGAGTGGCACCACCTCCCTCCAGCCCGGGCTGGCAGCCAGCTGGCCCAGCTCTCCACACGGCAGCCCTGCAGGCCTTGCAGCTGTGCGAGGCTCCACAGCAGGGAGGAGGTGGTAAAGGTATAAGGCAGAGGTGCGAGTGGCTGATTGAAAGACACATGGAACTTGCTGTGTGTCTCCACACCTAGTTCAGCCTTCAGACGAGTTTGAAGGACTGGCATTGCCCACTCAGCCACCACAGTGGGCAGGGTCAGCTAGCTACCAGTGTCTTTGAAAACAAATCTCCCTCAAGGGACAGGAAGCTCACAGTGCTGGGCACCCTGAGCCCCGATGACCCCTCCCCTGGCCCAGCTCAGAGAAGGATGTCAATAATGCAATAACTGCTTTGGGGCTCAGGACCAGAGTGCCCCCATCCCCCTACCACCACCCCTGATCCCTGGCACTGTGCTGGGTGTGGTGGCTGTGACAAGGGGTCCTTGCTGGGTCATAGCCACCCGTCGCTCTTCCCACAGGTACAGCCTGATGCTGCAGTGCTGGAAGCAGGAGCCAGACAAGAGGCCCGTGTTTGCCGACATCAGCAAAGACCTGGAGAAGATGATGGTTAAGAGAAGAGTGAGTACCTAGAGCAGATCCCCAGAGTGGGCCGCCGACAGGCTGGATGTGGCAGTGGGAGGTGAAGGGATGGGGGGAGGGGTTCCAGCCAGGTCCCCGGAGGTCCCTGTGCAGGGACAGAGTGAGGCTGTGCAGGGGAGATGGCCATGTTTCCCAGCTTTTAATGTTGGCAGTTCATTTACATTTTCAAAAGCTCAGTGTAGGCCAAACAAAACAGATCTGAGAGGCCACAGTCAGCCGTGCGCCTTCAGTTTAAACTGTAGGAAAATGAGAAAGTCAACCAAGTTTCAGCTAATATTTATGGAGCGGTTGCTGTGCACCCTATTCTGAGATCATGGAAACGCAAGTAAACACACACAGACCCTGCCCTCGTGGCGTTTACATCAGCGTTTCATCTTCACATGTACACATTTCCCAACGGTTGTAATTTCTTCAAACAGGAAAAGCAAGATGCATGGTCTAGGCCTGTGGTCGCCAAACTGCGGCTCAAGAGCCACATGCGACTCTCTAGCCCCCTGAGTGTGGCTCTTCCACAAAATACCACGGCCTGGGCGAGTCTATTTTTTTTTCATATTTTTTTTCAGATACTTTATTGATTTTTTTTACAGAGAGGAAGAGAGAGTGATAGTTAGAAACATCGAAGAGAGAATCACTGATCAGCTGCCTCTTGCACACCCCCTACTGGGGATGTGCCTGCAACCAAGGTACAAGCTCTTGACCGGAATCGAACCTGGGACCCTTCAGTCCACAGGCCGAAGCTCTATCCACTGAGCCAAACCGGTTTCGGCTGTGTGAGTCTATTTTGAAGAAGTGGCATTAGAAGAAGTTTAAGTTTAAAAAATTTGGCTCTCAAAAGAAATTTCAATCGTTGTCCTGTTGATATTTGGTTCTGTTGATTAATGAGTTTGCCGACCACTGGTCTGGGCTATTTGTGGTGAAACCCAACATCAGAGTATCACGTGAGCAAAGCCACCAATCCCATTAACAAGGGGACGGCCTTCGTGGGACTGAGAAGCAGGAAAATGCTGGGGCTGCTCACACATCTCACCAGGCGGTGCTGCATGCGGCCTAGATAGGACCAGAACAATAATGGGGGACGTTTCTGCCCCCAAGGAGGTGGCTTTCGGGTGGGGAGCAGTGAGGACTATGGAGCAGGGCCAGGTGGTGCAGGAGCTGGGGGACCTCAGAGCTGGCAATCCGGTGAGGAGCTCGGGTCTCTTGGAGAATCCAGTAGACTGGCATTGGATGGGACAAGGCCAGGGCTTCTGCCCAGGGGCATGTCTTTGCAGCACATGGGGGGCGGGGGGCGGGAGTGGTGACCAGCCACCTCTCTGTTCCAGGACTACTTGGATCTGGCCGCGTCCACCCCGTCCGACTCCCTGCTGTACGATGACGGCCTCTCGGAAGAGGAGATGCCCCTGGTGGACTGTAATAATGCTCCCCTCCCTCGCACCCTCCCCTCCACGTGGATTGAAAACAAACTCTATGGTAGAATTTCACATGCATTTACTAGATTCTAGCGACTCTGTTCCTCTCTGCACTATCCTTACTCTCTGGAATGCTTTTTTAAGAGTCTTTCTGGTCTGAATGAAACCAAAGTCCACTCTGAACCTTTTTATTTGTAATGTCTGACTTTGCATCCGTTTACATTCAGGCATTTTTGCAGCTATGTTTTTTTTTTTAAAGGATGTGAAAATAAGTGTAATTACTAGACTGCCCAGCAACTTGAGACGATAAAGAAAGAGAGCAGGGCAGAACACTCAGGGGATGTTGAGATTATGATGAATAAGTCATTTCTGGGGTGGGTATCAAGTCATAGTACTTGTAATTTAACTACTGGGACACACTTACCCAAACTGGGGGGAGGGAGGGGGCATTGGATTTAAAAAGGAGGAGCCAGTGGCCCCAGACCCTGTCTGGGTGGGCGGGTGCCCAGCCACAGGCCACACGCAGGCAGCTCTTTTCACATCCTTTGCGTTACACACTGTCATGACAGTTGTCACTTACGAAGTCAGCGCTGAGAGCTAGAGCAGGTGCTTCTTGGAAGAAGTAGTCTGTGGTGCTGTGGTCTCGCAATGGACAGTAAAGACGGTTCTTGCCAAAACTCCTTCTTTTGTCTTCAATTAAATACTTGAAATTTTTCTGTTTTCTAACCTCGTTGATTTTTATTATTTTTAATTTTTTTGAAATCTTGGTGTTTCGAGCATTTTCCAGCTGAGCGGGTTCCCTCTGCATGCCTCCTGGGTCACTCGGTGCCTCGCTGGCTTTGGGTCTGGTGCTCGTGCCTCTGTCCTGGCGCCGCTGTGGGCTCCCTGTGCGCACTCTTGATCTGGAAGAACCTCTCCCCAGGGTAGACTTGGGGGGGAGACAGGCTTCTTTAGGCCCGAGCACTTTTTATCAAGCCTCCCGCTGCCGTAAGCCACTGGGTACAGCGACGAGCCTTGGGAAGCGAGTGAAAGAGGTCCACAACATACGTCAGATCTGAGCGTCTGAAACTGACAAAAGTCAAAGCTGGTCATTTCTGGTCAGTTACCAGGAGAGCTCGTGATAGTTCCCCCAGCACGTGCTTCGCAAACAATGGAGCAGGAGCCCCTTTGTGTAATGGGCACAGAGCCCCGAGTTTGAGTAGAAGCTCACAGGGAGTTTTGCCAAGCCCTTACTGTCTGCACATGGAGCGTGGGTTCTTCAGTGCAGAGCAAACGATCTGTTTTCATTTTTAGGCATGTCAGACCCGAACTGGCCTGAGGAGAGTCCTGTACCACTCACGAGAGCCGATGGCACTAGCACTGGGTGTCCACGCTATGCCAATGATAGTGTATATGCTAACTGGATGGTTTCACCCTCAGCGGCACAATTAACGGACTCGTTGGGTAGTTAACATTTCTTTGTGAAAGGTAATGGACTCACAAGGAGGACGCTGGCTGAGGTGGTCCGCTGGCCCTCACGGTGCCCTTTCCGCTGGCTGGCGGCTTTTCCCTCCCAAGCAGACACCGTGCACGGGATGGGAGGCCAGTCTCGTGTGTAGGTCCCTCCTCCTCCTCCTCCTCCTCCTCCTCCTCCTCTGCAGCCCTTGGCAGAGCCAGTGCCAGTGTGTGTTCATCAGGGATCACCATGCTCTGTGCTCACACGTTGGGCCCCTCACTCACTACCTGATCTGTTTGATTCTCCTGGTTGCCACCCAACAAGGCAACCAGATGTAAACATGAAGCACATGCCCCCCCTCAACCCCCGACAAAGGCAGCAAGGACAAAACTGGCCCAAAGGACTGACGGTGTGGAGAACCGAGCCTGGCAAGGCCCAGTGTTGGTGTCAAAACCTGCCGGGGGCTGGCGAGGGAGAAGGGGTCTTGGCACAGCCCTGGGCTCAGGATTTGGGATCCTGAGATTTTTATTTTTTTTTAATTAAAAGAAAACCTTTTCTTAGGAAGACATTTGATTTTTTTTTTTATCATAATTAACATGATTCTTAGATTAGCACAATGGAGAGATGTGATGCCACACTTGCTGTGTAGACAGGCGGTGTCGGGAGAGAGCTCACAAACACGGTTCCCCATCACTGAGGGGTCACTTCCTGGTTTAGAACAGGACGGAGGAAGGGGTGCTTGTGGAGTGGCCTCCAGTCCAGACGGAGAGGTGGCAGCTGAGAGCCCCCCGCCCCCCGCCTCCGTCTTCCGCCCACTGCATGCCCAGCACCGGAAAGCAGTGGCTCATCTCACACCTCGAGAGTGGGCGGACTGGTGCTCAGTGTACAAGGGACCGTTCAGCCAGCTATGTTAGAAGTAGCATTGACAGTGACCGAGGACCTCCCCCGCTCTGATTTCAGCTCTGACGTGGGAAAGACAGTGTTCTGGCTCTCATAGAGCTTGTGTGGGAAAGTATCCACGCTTCCCGTGTGTGGACTTGACGCTGCTATAGCAAGACATTTTGGTTTCTCGGATTCTGACCATGACTCATAAGCTTGTCATTCTCCTCTGCCTGTTTGTGGTCACAGACACCGCGCTCCTCCAGCTTGAGGGGAGGGGGAGCATTTGGAAAGTCCTGGTGGCTCTTCTGTAACTTGTCTCAGCACCGTAACTTCCCAGGGGAGGATCGGTGACCAGACACTGCCTGGCCTGGATGGAGCGCACCGGGGAAGGACGTGCCTGTAGGTTTATAAAAAGGCCGTGTTTCAGAGGCATTACGTAACAGCAGTAACACTAACGGCGTTTTGTGGCCAAGAAGGCTCGGCTGAGTGTGTGCTGGAGCCTCGTGGTGTGTGCGCACTCAAAACACCCCAGAGAAGGAGCTGGAGAAACACTTCTTGGAGGCGCAAGGCGGCTGGAGCTGGAGCCATTTGTCAGATGCCCTATTAGTTCTCTTACCCACATCTTGTTGGAAGTCTCTGGTTTCAGATGTGCTTAACGCTAGTCTTATTAAATAAGGGTAAACTTTCAAATTATTAAAAATGCCTACTCAGTGAGATGCTGTAGCAGGTTTGTTAGCAGGGTGAGGACTCCGAGTTCAAGTGGCTGACCCAGTGATGGGGAATTAACCCTTGACTGTTAACCTGTCTAGTTATACAAGTACTCATGCCTACTAGTCCTCTCGATTTTCATGCATATATGCAGAAGTTACTAAGTGTTTAAGTGTTCCTGAGTATTAAGTAGCAATCTGTCAGTTATGAAAATTTGTGAAATCTATTTATGAAAGGTTATTAAAACCATGCCATGTTCATTTGTTTTTGTAAATCAAGGTGACTAAGGAAATAATTTTAGTTATGTAAATAAAATCATATATCACAAAACGTGTAAACTTCATTCCTCTAAACTTCCTCACTGGGAACATCAGGTGTTTTGTTTTGAAGTTTCAGTGCGAGGATGAAGATGTGTCAGGGGGGTCTGATGGGGCAGCCCCCGGGAACTAACAGTGGTGGAAGGTCAGGAGGCTCTCGGTGGTCGGATGGACTTGTCTTGCACGATATGTAGGTGAACAGGCGCATTGACAGTAAATGAAAATTCACAGTAAATGAAAATTCAGCCAGTCCCGCTATTCAGAGAGCCCCTGCCTTCAGGTTCCCTTCTCAAGAACAGAGCAGCTGCCAAGGCCAAGTTCAGGTGTGTATGCTTCCCTGGCAGTGTGCTTGCCTCTTGGTTCTTGAAGCTAGAGTTGGACAGGTGTGGGGGAGAGGACGTAAAATGCATAGTCATTATTGAAAGCCCAGGGGAGTAGGAGGGAAAACTGTGAAGCACTATGAAGTTGAGGACACCGAGTGCTTCTGTTTCCACCGGACTGGGCAGGAATTCTATGAGCTGGCAAGGAGCAGGTGGGTCCGTCAGCAAACACGAGTTGTTGCCACCATAAATCTGACGTGGGGTTCCCAAGGGCCTGTGTCATTTCCTCGGTCAGGCAGACGCACACATGTGCGCACACGGGCTGCCCACGCCCCGGGCACTGCAGCTGCTGGCCCCAGAGCCTGAGTCTGCTCTGTTTCCTCCTTCAGTCTGCTACAGGGACTGGAAATACACCTAATTTCTAGGCTCAAGTCATTTGCTACAGCCTTTACCTCTGAATGTTTGGAACCCACGACGAGGAAAGCGAATACACTAACATACTAAGCCCCCTTACATGACCATAGGAGTTTGTGCCTGGTTTTTCTTTTCGTTTGTCTCTGGTTTATTTTTCTTAAAAAGCACATTCTCTGCCAGCATCCACAACAATCCCTTCCACCACAAGGCCAGCTTATTTGGGTGCAAATGTTGTTGAATATAATGCCTAAGAAAAGGAGGTGGACAAACAGTTTACATATAAAAGAAAATTGGAAGGAAAAGCACCATTTCTTGCAGTACAACCCCCGCCCCCCTCCAAACACACACACACAGTAAATGGCTTTCTCTCCTTCCTCCAACACATTCACACAAAGGATATTTGGATATTTAGTTGATGTTTAGGGTGGTTCTGGGAAATGCCTAAGAAATCCTGTGAGGGTCTAAGGCCCTGAGAGATGCAGTGAGAGTGGATCTGAAGGTGCAGCATGGGGTGCCTCTCGGCATAAAGGCACGTGTGGAGTTTGCCCTCTGCTCATGGGCCATTACGTGCAGAAATGACCTTCCACTGACCCTGCCTGCCCCGTCCTCATCCCTTCTCCAAGCAGCAGCCCTGATGGCCCGTGAGAACTGTGCAGTCCTCCCACCTCTTTAGGAAGCTGGACTCCCACCAAGGGCTATCTTACTAAGATGGTACGGAACCAGAACGCGTGGGTAGAGAAGTTTGCGATTTGAGGCACGCCACCCTGTCCTGCGGCTGACGGCTGGGAGAAGAAGCTTCACTCACACTGAAAGCACATTCTCTGCGACTCGGGTTTCAGTGCTATGTCAAGTGACAAGATACCTTTGCAGATGTTTCTGATGTGTTAACACAGGACCTGGCCAACCAGGATCTCAGCGGGAGCCCAGGCAAGACCGCACGATGGAGCCATGTGGCTGCAGGCTGCAGCCATGTCCATCACGGGGAGCGAGGCAGGCAGCGTGGAGGGAGCAATGACCTGAGACTGCTCCCACCACTGTGACTTCAATACTTCAGTCCCACGCCAGGGAAGACCGTAATCCTGCATCCCTTCCGATGACACTGAACAATTCAAGTTCAAAATGTGGGCAGGCAAGGTAAGGAACGTGCATTCTAAAACTGAACATATAAAAAGAAAAGGAAAAGATTCATTTTTTGAGAAGGAAGTCATTTTGATGCTTCAATACTGACAGTATTTACCATGCACCACACTGTCAAGTTCTTGAATAAAAGTGCATAGTCCATTTTAAAGGTCCATGTTTTTATTGATCTTTGTTAATTTGTAAATAGCACCAAAGTAAACCGTATTTTTCTGGCTGCTCTTGTTCCTCACCTGTCCGCACCCCCAGTCCCTTTCTGCACTTGTCATTTCCCCACGGAGGAAAGTCATTGCTGTGGGCTGGGAAGGGTCTAGCCCAGGAGAAGGAAGAGCCGCCTGAGGGAAGGGACTTTGTCCAGAGGCTGCAGGGAGCCCGCCTCGCAGCCGCCTCCCCCTCCCCCCCTCTTCTCACCAAATGACTGGCTCCATATTGTGCCTTCCTTCTGAGAGTTTCAAAGACTTTAAATTTTTCTTGAAGGCTCTGTGGCCACAGGGCCTGAGAGTTCAGGATCACCCAAAGGGTTTGGGAGACCATGAATGTTGGGGGTGAGGAACGATTGTAGGAAATGATCTTTAAGACTAGGAATAATACAGAGGAAGGTAAGATTCAGGTTTCTCTCAAGACAGTCACTAAAAGAAGTATTGTGGGAGAAAATTGTATTTTTAAAGAGAGGCCAAATGATCTATAATCATTTGTAGAAATAAAGACCACCCAAGTAAGAACAAGCAGAAGCTGCTTATTCTGAACTTGTTATACAGTGGACTCCACTCCTATTTTGGCAGATACTCAGGGCAGGTAGAGGAGTCCGAGGCTCCATAGTGGGAACAAAAGGAGGTGGGGAGGCCTCAGGTGTCTTCAGAGGTGGTTGGCATGGCAAAGGGAGGCTTTCCCTAGAAGCAGGGCATGTTATGTGCCTTACCTGGGGAACATACTTGGCTTTCTTAGACTGGTTTTGAGTTGGAAAAGGGAGTACAAAGTAGAGAAGCTAGCAGTCACTGACCAAGTCTTAATTATTCTGGGTTGATTACTGCAAAGGTTGTGGGTTAGAGTTCTTTGGTTATATGTGGTCTAGCCATTGTCTGTTTGCATATTCTGTTTCTCAGTTCCCAAATGTGTTTTTTGTTTTGTTTTGTTTTGGTTGTTGTTGTTTTTGTTTGTTTGTTTGTTTTGGTTCTTTTGCTTGTATGTTGAAATTTTCAAGGAAATCCAATGGGGAGAAAACAATGACATCTGTAATACTTTCAAAAAACTTAAAAAAGAAAAATTAAAGGAAGTGAAAAATCCAGATCTTCACCACTTTAAGATTGATCCTTCAGTCATCTCCATGGTCAACAACATAATGAAGTCTTTTTTTTAATATATTTTATTGATTTTTTACAGAGAGTAAGAGAGAGGGATAGAAAGTTAGAAACATCGCCGAGACCGGTTTGGCTCAATGGATAGAGCGTCGGCTTGGGGACTTAAGGGTCCCGGGTTCGATTCCGGTCAAGGGCATGTACCTTGGTTGCAGGCATATCCCCAGTAGGGGGTGTGCAAGAGGCAGCTGATCCATGACTCTCTCTCATCGATGTTTCTGGCTCTCTGTCTCTCTCCCTTCCTCTCTGTACAAAATCAATAAAATGTATTTTTTTAAAAAAAAAAGAAGAAGAAAGTTAGAAACATCAACCAGCTGCCTCCTGCACACTCCCTACTGGGGATGTGCCCGCAACCAAGATATATGCCCTTGACCGGAATCGAACCTGGGACCCTTCAGTCTGCAGGCTGATGCTCTATCATCTGAGCCGAACCGGCCAGGGCATGAAGTCTTCTTAATATTGATCTTTCTGTTATATCATTACAATGATTATCTGTCAAGAAAGTGACTGTGCAGAAGCATTTTAGACCCTGGTTAGAATGCCATAAACCATCATGATCACTATGACAACAATAAGAACAATTAATAATCCCTGTAAGGTGTTTTGAACCAAGAACTCCAAGCCAAGAACAAGTCCTATATAGGCCAAGAAGATCCACTTCAGAGAGCCACTTTAGAGAGCTTTTGCCTTAAGGCATCATATCTCCTGGTCCATCTTCCTGGTTTTGAGTACCCAAGTATTGTATTAGGAATGGCACAGACCATGACTAACACACAAGAAATCTAGAGCAATGTCCATCATTGTCATGCCAAACAATTGGGATTGCTCTGTGTTCCATCTAGGGAAGAGATGGTACCACTAATGACTTTGTCAGAATTAGTGATAAGTTTCTTATAATTCTACTAGAGACCCAGTGCACAACATTCATGCACTTGGGGAAAGGGACCCCTCAGACCGGCCTGTGCCCTCTCAGTCTGGACCCCCCGGGAGATGTCCGCCTACTGGCTTAAGCTTTAAGCTTAGGGAGCAGGCCTTAACCGGCAGGCAGACATCCCCAGAGGGGTCCTTAGTGCTGCAGCATAAGCAGGCGAGGCTCCCGCCACCACTGCTGCACTCACCAGCTATGAGCCTGGCTTCTGGCTCGCTGCTCCTTAGCACTGCCTCAGAGGTGGGAGAAACTCCCACCACCGCCACTGTGCTCACCAGCCATGAGCCCAGCTTCTGGCTGGGCAGCACTCCCCCTGTGGGAGCGCATTGACCACCAGGAGGCAGTTCCTGCATTGAGCATCTTCCCCCTGGTGGTCTGTGTGTGTCATAGCGACTGGTCATTCCACTATTCGGTCAATTTGTATATTAGTCTTTCATTATGTATAACTCCCACCAATGGAAATCTGCTAAACAATGAGCAAGTAATTCCCCCAGGAAGAGTACTGAATAATTAAGGGTGACTTCCTTTTGGAGCTAATGTCTGAATCAGAATTTTCAGCCTTGATTTATAGAATTAGGACTTCTATGTACAGACAAGTTTTGAAATTTTATTCCTACATGCATGCATGAGATGTTAGTCTGAAGCAAATGGAACCAGGCATCCTAACCACAAAAGATACATTTGGCAGGGACATGTGGAGATCTAGGGGAGAAATCTGTTCGTGAGAGAAGGCCAGAGCCAGGCCTTACATCAGCTGGTTACATGTTTGGAACCTATAGTGGTATCTTACAGGAAGCAAGTATTTGGCTCATCACCCTCTGAAGGTTGAATTTAAATTTAGCTTAGGTAGACTCTAACAAATTGGTTCTTTTTCTGGGAAAGCAGGATGCTAGCAAAGCCACAGGTTAACTTGTTTAAAGTAATTTGTTCATGATACTGCAAATAGATCTTCAATGAGATTGGAATTTCCCAGAGGTTTTCATTGTGAAGGTTTGGTGTTTGGTAAGATTTAAGGCAGTGCATAATGTTGGGGATAATCTAACAAAGCCATTAGGATGAGTTAGTATATTCTGACCTAACAATTACATAAAGAGGAGAAATTGTCTGTAATATCTAGTTAAACCTCAAATTTCTCTCCAATGTAGCTTTGTGAGGGGTCTACAATAGATTTGGATATTTTTTAGTCTATCAGAAGAGAGTGTCATCCCCCCCCCCCAAAAAAAAAGACTGTGTTATGGCAAAATTGTAATTTATCTTTTGAAACTTTAGGTCCAGATTCTGTTAATGGTGAGAATAAATGGAATCCTTTTTCTCTCAGCAAAGCAAATCTACAAATTGTGTCAGAACTGGGTCATAAGGGAAATTGTGATTATTTAAGTCTTGACTAAAGACCTGGGGAAAAGATCAGGGACTTTCAATCAACTTCTGTCCTCCATGATGAAAACCAAAAGCTACTGACAGTCATTCAGCCTTAAAAAAGAGTGACATTCTGCCAAAACTGGTTTGGCTCAGTGGTAGAGCGTCGGTCTGTGGACTTGGGAAAGGTCCCAGGTTCGATTCCGGTCAAGGGCATGTACGTTGGTTGCGGGTGCATCCCCAGTAGGGGGTGTGCAAGAGGCAGCTGGTCGATGATTCTCTCTCATCAATGTTTCTAACTCTCTATCCCTCTCTTTTCCTCTCTGTAAAAAATCAATAAAATATATTTTAAAAATAAAAAATAAGATACTTCTCCTTTAAAAAATAAAATAAAAATAAAAATAAAATTGCAAAGTAAGTTTCTCCTTATTAAATTTGCAGGAGGCTGTCACAGAGCAGGAAGGAATGTTTTGCAATCAAGGGCTCCAGGCTTATAGTTAAGGGCAGGAAAATAGAGGGTATCTGGGGGTTAGCTGAAATGCTTGCCACCTGTGTCTGTTTTGTGTTTACTCCAAAAAGGAGGCTGAGCAAAGATGGCAGGGTTTAATGCAGAAAGAGGAGTACTTGTATCCACCAGAAATGCGTGGAGTTGCCACATACAGTGGGTAGAACTGTGTTCCCACAAAAGATATGTTCCAGTCCTCACCCTCAAAACCTGTGAGTTTGACCTTATTTGGAAATAGGGCCTTTGTAGAGGCAATCAAGTTGAGATGAGGTCATATTGGATTAGGGTGGTTTCCTCAGCAGAAGAGGGAAATCTGGACACACACAAAACACGGGGGAGAATGCCATGTGAAGATGGGGGTCGAGGTGGGAGCGATGCATCTATTGTACAAGCCGAGAACACCAAGGATTGCTGGCGACCGCCAGAAGCTAGAAGAGGCGAGGCAGGATTCCCCAGGGCCTTTGCAGGGAGGGTGGCCCTGCTGACTCCTTGATGTTGGACTTCAAGCCTCAAGAACTGTGAGAAAACACGTGTCTGTAGTCTTATGCCGCCCAGTTGGTGGTAATTTGTTCCAGCAGCCCTCGGAAGCTAGCACACTATCTACATTTCCAGTTAGTTCACCTTGAGTATGTAAGGGTATGGCCCAGTAGCAAGTACTTTTTCTTCCTTGGAGCACCCTCATAAATCTGAATTAAGGAGCTTTTCTTTGTCTCATAAGATGAAACCATCTTTTTCTCAGTATTCTTTTTCAAGTGTCCTTGTCAGTAGGTGGTATGTTGGGGAGTAAGTCACCTCACTGCTGGCCTGCAGGACCACAGGTTTATTTTGTGTCCTGTCTTGTTTTTGTTAAAAACCTTTTAAAATAGATTGCCTCTATTATCTGCCAGGTATTGTAGTTCTAGTCAAGGCACTATTGCCCATTCTAAGTTCCGTTTTTGAATGTGATCTGCAGTTTCAGTTGTAACTTCATTACCCAAATGAGGTGAAAGGGCAACTTTTTAAACTCCCAAATATTGTTGCAGTTGTGGATCCTGAGAAAGAAGATACCTACTAAGAAAGGCCCCTGGTGGCTAACTGGTCTCAAATTTTAGTCAAGAGCCTAGAAGCCACTTCTATATAGAAATCTTTCACACTGCACTTCAGAGAAAAGCCTGCCTGGACAGCCTGCCTGCACTGCGCTTCTGCCAGCTGAGCCAGCCCTTACAAAGGAGTTCCTGGAATCCTATTTCAACCAATAGGACTGAGGCTTTCCCCATCCAATCAGAGCTGCACGGCTATATCTCTTCCCCCACCCCCCTGAACCCCATCAACATCTTTTTTTTTTTCTTAATATATTTTATTTATTTTTTACAGAGAGGAAGAGAGAGGGATAGAGAGAAACACTGATCAGAGAGAAACATCAACCATCTGCCTCCTGCACATACCCTACCAGGGATGTGCTCACAACCAAGCTACATGCCCTTGACCGGAAATCGAACCTGGGACCTTTCAGTCTGCAAGCCAATGCTCTATCCACTGAGCCAAACCAGTTCCCATCCCATCAACATCTTTACAGACCAATCTGAGAAGCTCTATTCTGACCAATTAGGGAAGTGTCTTTTGGACTAAACAAACTGAGGACAGACCAATCAGGAGCAAGGACTGGGGACTTCTGTCTATATCAGCCAGGTCCTGCTCTGGGAGCACACTTTCCCTCTCCAGGGAAGACTGACAACTATTTCCCTGGTTGAGCTGAAACACCAAAGGTGTCTTATCAGAGCAGAGCAGAGCTGTCCAGCCAAAGAGGCCTGATCCCAACACTGCCCAGGCCCTAGGGCTGCCTCACAGCTGTACAGTTTTCACAGCAGTGCTTGCTGTATAACAATTGAGATGTTTTGCACTGAATAAAGTTTCCTTCCTCGCTGCACCCCAAATTGGGGATGATTGTTGGTATTGAATTGGCTGCAAGAACACAATGCAGTTTCTAGTCTATCCCAAAGTCTCCTGTAGATTCCTCTTTTCTATTTCCACTGTGGTTCATCTGCTTTTATTGGAGATGTCTTAGGGATGGCTTTTAGGAGACGCTTTTTGTGAAACTGCTTTATTGTGGAAAGGATTCTGTAAATCCCTTTCCAGGTGAGTCCAGCCAACTTTTCCATTTTAATCAATCTGTGTACAAGTAGATATAGGTCAGATAACACTGGGTCACATAACATTCCACAATGTTCTAAATATTCTATGAATAATTGCTGTTCTTGTCTGGGTTTGAGGAAATCCTTAATTATAGCTCGTAATTCCGTTTAAATCTAAGGTTTAAATTCTACAGTTTCCTACTTACCTAATTCACAAGAAGAACAGGCATTCAGAGACAGATGGGAATGGCAGTCTTAGACAGTTGTTGGGGAGAGGAATGGGTAGATAAGAGGAGGGAGGAGTGGATAGAGGTGTGATAGGAAAGAGATCAGAAGGATGAGGGAGAGAGGGGGAGCTGGATATATAGGAAGGCAGGAGGATGAGCTGAGGGTGTTTTCCTGGGAGCATGAGTTTCTTGTTGCCTAAGTATGTCAGATTGCTCATTAGCTGGCCAAAGAAGCTTTTAGTGATACAATTTTTGAATCAAAATATTGTTTAGAGTCCTTCAAATATCAATCAAAAATGCTGCCATTAGGTCTGGGGAATCTTATTCCCTTTCTTTTCCAATGTATCTCTCAAATGAACAACTTATTCAAATTAAATGTTCCTCAGCCTTAGAGTGGCTACTGAAGGCCCAAAATGCTTGGTGAAGTTATGACATTTAGAGAAATAGGCACAAAAAAAATGGAATTGTAAAGAGAGTACATATAAGAAGCAGGAGTTTTTCCTGGAGAAGGCGAGGATATAGATTTAGATGATACCATGAAAACTGGCACCTGAGTAGGAACAGAGTGCTTATTCACCTCTCGGACACAAAATCAAGATGGAAGAACCTCATCCAGTTTCACCAGTGACTCCACAGCAAAGTTTGTCCTAGGGCAGTGGTCGGCAAACTCATTAGTCAGCAGAGCCAAATATCAACAGTACAACCATTGAAATTTCGAGAGCCAAATTTTTTAAACTAAAGCTTCTTCTAACGCCACTTCTTCAAAATAGACTTGCCCAGGCCGTGGTATTCTGTGGAAGAACCACACTCAAGGGGCCAAAGAGCCCCATGTGTCTCGAGAGCTGCAGTTTGCCAACCTCAGTCCTGGTCTGGTGAGAATCCCAAACTCACAGGTCTGTGAGGCTAGCTTCGGCAACAGTGTTCTGATGCCCATGCCTGTGGTCTAACTATCCTATGATTCTCCTTATAACAAACAACACTTTTAGACAGCACACAAAACAGTAACAAAAATGGCAGCAAAATGAAATGAAGGGCCTGGTTCCATCAAAGATGCCAAGCAAATGGGAATCGGTAACAAAACATGAATACAAAGCTGAGAATAAATAGCCAAGGAATTCAATGCAAAGAGAGTGAGGTCAGACTCAATTCTGACTTACCATGGCCTTGAGGTCTATGTGTATTACTGCACCTGACTAGTACAGACCCTGTCTTGGTGGAATCACCAGGAAAACTATGAAAAGGAAGGCAGATCACTGAAGTGAAAGAGGATTTGCTGTAGCAATGAGTCAGCCCCCATCACTTGCTTTGGCAGAGACACAAAGGCAGGCCAGGGGAGTGGGGAAGCTTTCTCGTTATTTTGTTAAGATTAAAGGAAATACGTGTGTGTGTGTGTGTGTGTGTGTGTGTGTGTGTGTTTTAGAAAATCTACATTCTTCTGATATTCATCATACCATAATACCGTGTTTCCCCGAAAATAAGACATCCTCCGAAAATAAGACCTACTTACAGGTTTCCTTCTGAGTGAAATATAAGGCATCTCCCCGAAAATAAGCCCCCCCCCCCCAGGCTAAACATGAAAGATTTGGTCCACTGATTCTGAAAGAAATGGAATCACAAGAAATTCACCAGGAAATTCAGGAATTGGATTGTTATGATGATGTTCCAGAAGATGATGACATGATTGTCATTGAATAAATGAGTAAATTCTTGATACTGTAGGATTCACAGTTTGTCTGGTTTGTGTTGACAACTACCGTGCTACTATACTATATACAGGTAATAAATTTCCTTTATTTTCATTTAACAATAAATGTGTACCGTATTCTTCTTCATGGAAAAATAAGACATCCCCTGAAAAAAAGACCTAGTGCATCTTTGGGAGCAAAAATTAATATAAGACACTGTCTTATTTTCGGGGAAATAGGGTAGTACTTTAGTATTTTCCCCAAGGGAACTACTAATTTATAAGCCCCAGGATATCATTCATTGTCTGCCATGAAATTTGAATTATGCATCATCTTCTCTCCAAATTCAAACTACACGCATTGTATTTGATTTGGCAGTCAAAATAACAATAAGCTAACAATTAAAATCCATTGATGGAACCTCAGTTATTTTGAAAACAACTTTAATGGAGGATTCAAATAACAATTTGAAAGAAATGACAACCAGCACCAACCCTGCTGTTTCCATTTCATGCCGGGCTCCGTGCTGGGAGGGCCTCTGAAGCTGCCTCTCTGAGTTCCTGTTCCCTCCACTGTAAATTGAGAACTGTAACTACCCCGCTGAGATGCCCGGGGACTCACACAAGGCTGATCTCGGTACAGAAAAATAACCAGAAACAAGACTGAAAGCTTCATTATGGCAGGTGGTCAATTTAATCAGGCATGCTGTGTGCTTGAGTAGCTGGCCAAGTGCAAAGATTCTGGACAAGGGAGGGATTCTGGCATGTTCTTATTTTAATCAATTCAACTCATATGTATCAGACATGTACCATGTGCAGAGAAAGTCCTAGGAGATGAAAAAGACATGGCCCTTCTCTTCAGGAGCTTACAGACCTAGGGGATCCGTGACTAGAGGAATTCTTTACTCTCTGGCGGGAAGGGTAGTTAGGAACAAACCCTCTCCTGGAATGGCACTCCTACTGGATGCATCCACAGTCACCTTAGCCTCCTGCTCTGACTTAGGCATGTAATGATGACAGTGAGCTCCCGCGGCCTGCAGCCTGCTAGGCACAGCACCCAACACTTCAAACACAAAACTGTGTTTCACCCTCACAACCACCTTAGGAAGCACATGCCACTGTTCTGTCCTCATGGGACTGCTGAGGAAATAGGCTTAGAGAGCCTAAGCCCAAAGAACCTACCAAGATAACCTGGTAAGAAAAGCAGAGCGTAAACACCAATCAGAAAGGATATATGCACCCCTATGTTTGTAGCGGCACAATTCACCATAGCTAAGATTTGGAAACAGCTTAAGTGCCCATCAGCAGATGAGTGGGTTAAAAAAACTGTGGTACATCTACACAATGGAACACTGTGCTGCAGTAAAAAAGAAGGAATTCTTACCATTTGCAACAGCATAGATGGACCTGGAGAGCATTATGCTAAGTGAAATAAGCCAGTCAGAGAAAGATAAATATCACATGATCACACTCATGTATAGGATATAATGAACAACATAAACTGATGAACAAAAACAGATACAGGACAGAGAAGCATCGATCTGTCAAACCTCAGAGGGAAGGTAGGGGAGGGTGGGCATGCATATAAGCCTAACCAATGGACAGACACCAGTGGGGGGAGGGGGAAGGGCATGAGTGGAGGGGTGGGGGACCAATGGGGCAATAAGAACACATATGTAATACCTTAATAAAGAAAAAATATTTTTATAATAGAAAAGCAGAGTGGTGGGAGGCAGACCCCAGAGCCATTCTCAGCGCAGCCTGCCCACCCAGACACAGGCAGGGTGCTGATGCCCGGCATCCCCTCGCCTGCTCTGGGCAGGAACCGTGCCACGGGGATGCCCCTGGAACCAGCAGTGGAATGGAGGGTCTTTCTTTTTCCTTCACTAAACTCATACAATGTAAGACCAAGAAGCCTTCCCAGAATGTTTCCCTCATTTTACGTAAGGAAAGCTGGGTTCAAAGAAGTGGAGGGCCGAAACCGGTTTGACTCAGTGGATAGAGTGTCAGCCTGCGGACTGAAAGGTCCCAGGTTCGATTCCGGTCAAGGGCATGTACCTTGGTTGCGGGCACATCCGCAGTGGGGGGTGTGCAGGAGGCAGCTGGTCCATGTTACTCTCTCATCCATGTTTCTAGCTCTCTATCTCTCTCCCTTCCTCTCTGTAAAAAAATCAATAATATATATATATATATATATATATATATATATATATATATATATATATATTTTTTTTTTTTTTTTTTTTTTTTTTTAATGAAGAAGAAGAAGAAGAAGAAGAAGAAAAGAAGAAGAAAGAAGAGGGGGAAGGGGAGGGGGAGGGGGAGGGGGAGGAGGAGGAGCCTAAAGGGCACTGGCAGCCCCGGGCTTCCTCCCTGGGGAACAGCCCGGCTCCCCGAACTTTCAGACACCTCAGCGACTTGTCAGTCCTCAGCCCAGCGCCCACAGGCAGGCACTCATCGCCCCCTGGGCTCCGGCGGGACTCCCGCCGGGCAGCGCTCCGCTGGGGCGAGCCCCTCCCTCTCCAGAGCCGGTGCTCCTGTCCCTCCCTGCCCACCGTTGCTGGGGCCACAGCAGTTTCCTGCTTCGGGCACTCCCTTCGCCTCCACAAATCATTCTTGGATTTACACAGGCACACACACAGCACACACATTTTTAACAGATAATCGATTAACCTATATACTGTGTGCCAGTTTTCCAGCTTTGTTTGCAGGCACTGGGCAACGACGGGGGCGGAGTCATCGCGGATGGGGGCGGGGCTTCCGGGCAGGGGCGGGTTTCCTCGCGCTGCCGGAAGTGGCGGTGCGGGCGCCGCGGCGCGGCCCTGGGCCGGCAGAACACCTCCGGGCTGCTGTGAGGAGCGGGAGGAGGAGGAGGGAGAGGAGGAGGAGGGAGAGGAGTAGTGGAGAAGGAGGAGGCGGCTGCTCGGCGCGGGGCTGGTGAGCGCGGTGAGTACCCGGTCCGGTCCCCCCCCCACCCCGACCCCCGCCCCGGCCTGGCCCGCCTGCGGCTCCGCCGGGCGCGGCTCGGGGCTGCGAGTCTGTCCGGGCCGGGTCACCGGGGCCGCGTCGCGGACGAGCCCTCCGAAGTCTCCTCCGGCGTCAGCAAGAGCGCGGATTCTCGAGCGGTTGCTTTTCTTTGGAGAACGCTGCCGCCAGCGCTGATTTGCGGTTTATTTTTGTCCCTCCTCTTGCCCGCGCTCCCTCCGGCCCGCCGCCTCCCGGGCGCCCACGCCGCGGTGGGGACGAGGGGCCGGGCCGCTCCGGAGGGGACCTCCGGCGTCAGCTCGTCTTGAAAATCGCAGCGTTCGGAGCAGCTTGCTGAGGAGGCATTTGTAAGCGCAGTCGTTGCTGTTATTCGTGGTGATGTTCGGGCAGAATGGAAATCTGAGTGTAGCGCAGGCTTTTGTCCTTAGGCGGGTCCGGGGCTCTGGGTGCGAGCCTGACAGCTGCGGGGGAGCTCCGGGCTGGTCCGCGCTCCGGGGATTGGCGGTGCTTTGCGTGCGGTACTGACAGCGCTTTGGAGCGTGGAGCGGGAAACCCGGTATTTTATGACCCAGAAGGTAACGCTCATTTTGTGTTATCCCTTTGATACTGTTGGTTTAAAATGACCCTGTGACTAAAACAACGGAAAAGGGATGTTGGATTTCCAGCATTTTGGCTCAGAGAATTCTGACACCCATAAGCACAGTTTTAGTTCCAACCGGTTTGGAAATTACATTTTTTTCTTGCCTCTTTTTTTTTTTTTATTGAGGTAAAACACAAATGAAGTCATCAAGCGCATACATCTTAATAGTACAGCTCGATGAATTTTTATGTGTTTATGAACTTGTATGAAGTGATACCTACATTTATATAGAACATTTCTATCGCCCCAGGAGTTTCCCTCTGCTTCTTCCAAGTCAGTAATGCCCCTGCCTCCTAACCAGCATTTGGATTTCTGTCTTCATATATTAGTTTTGTCCAGTTTGAGCTTCATGTTAATGGAATTGTATAGTATATCACTGTGAGATTCACTCCTGATGTTTCATGTAACGTTGGTTCATTTTTTTTCTTTTTTGCTGTGCAGTACTTTTTTGTGTGGTTATATGATTACTCTTCTTTTGATGTTATATTTGTGTCTCCAATATTTGTATATTATGTGTTTTGAAGACTACTGTGGATATTCTTATAAATATCTTGGTGAACATCTGTATGTGTTTCTGTCAGCTGTGAAATGTCTGAATCATAAGATAGGCAGAAAATTTCCTTTAACATGAAGCCTATTTAAAAAGGTAGAATTTCTTATTTTAACTTTTATAATAAAGATTGGTAAGAAGCATAACTATTATGAATTCAAAACTTAATTGACTCTTCATATTATTTTATTAAATCCTTGGCTTGCATATCTATGATGATCTTCACCCAGGCTGTCGCAGCTTCTGTAACTGTCTGGTGGAGAAGTCTGTTAGAGCTGGTGATGCTCTGTTCCTGAAGCTTGTTGTATAACACTTAGGTAAGAACTATGTTGCTCAAATCGGTGGTTGTTAGAGGAAATGAAACACCAGAAAGATGTGACTCAAAATGGATTGAAGAATCATGGGATTGCACATCAAAGAACTTATTACACTGTAATTGTCATCCTACACAAATATGGGTAGAATATATATAATTGAATTATAGGGTTAGTTAGAAATGTGAATTTACCACAAGAGTACAGTGATTTCTAGGCTCCTAAGATACATTGATACATTTATCATGGGAACCAACAATAAAAATCATTAAGCATTTGTGGGAAATCGGTAACATGGAAGAGATGCCTCAGACTGAACAAATATAAGAATTAGTCCTGAAACAATGGAGTCCATGTAAGAAACAGAAGAAACTTTAAAAGAAATATTCGTGTGCTAGATTTAGAAGGATATCATGCCATTTGGACACATATAAGCTGCCCTGAAAGTAAGCAATCAGTTCTTGAATATTAAAACATAGAAAATAGGAAAAAATAGCCATAACATAGAAAAGAGATCTAGAAGAGCCATTTTACATTTCTTAAGAGTTCCAGGAGGTAAAAGAAATTTGAAGAGGAGTAATAACCACAAAGAAAATAGAGATCATGAGAGTAGGTGTATCCAGGCAGAATCTTGGACAGCCAAAGCCAAGCAGAAAGACACTATCATTCAGGAGACAAAGTACTGGCAAATATAAATCAACCTTCCTTCTCTAGTCTCCATTTCTTCCTCTGTGCAGTGGGGGAAGTATACCTTTTCAGAAAGCTTTTGGAAAGATGTGGCACAAATTGAGGGTTTCTGGCTGTTGTAACAGCTTCTTTCCCCCAACCTCATCCCCTTGAAACTCACAATAAATGCCAGATTTCCCATTCCTACTTTATAATAGAACTAGAGGCCATTGCTAAGGAGGGAGGGCCTCAGCCCAGCCTGCACCCTCTCCAATCTGGGATCTCTCAGGGGATGTCCGACTGCTGGTTTAGGCCCCCAGGATTGGGCCTATACCCAGTAGTCGGACATCTGTCTCACAATCCAGGATCACTGGCTTCTAACTGCTCTACTGCCTGCCTGCCTGGTCACCCCCAATTGCCCCCACCCCCACCCCACCAGCGTGGTTGCCCCTAACTCCTCCCCCCCCACCCGCTGGCCTGGTCACCTCTTACTGCCCCCCATGCTGGCCTGGTTGACCCCAAATGCCCCTCACAGTCTGGTCAGCCCCAACTTCCCTCCCCACCCCCACCCCTGCTGGCCTAGTTGCCCCATGCAGCGTGCTACTCAGTCGTTTGGTCGCCCCTCACTAACCTCCCTGCCAGCCTGGTCACCCCACACAGTCTGCTGCTCGGTTATTTGGTCACCCCTCACTGACCCCTCCCTCTGCCGGCCTGGTCACCCACGCAGTCTGTCCGATTGTCTGTTCAGTTTCAATGGTCACTTAGGCTTTTATATATGTAGATGGAACCAAAATATTGTCAAAAGAAACAAAGGGGGGAAAAACAAGAAAATTTCTCTGAGTAGAAGTATTTATGAATAGAAAAGACTGATACATTCTGATAAAATTTATGGACTTCATGGATAAATATGCAATCTCATAAGCTTCCAAAGAGAAGCATATGGTTTCCTATAAAGGGATGGAAATCAGACTTGCAATTAGACTTTTAATCTGGACATAGAATGTTAGATGACAGTGGTGCAGTTATCTAAAATGTGCTCATGGGACATATTTTGAACTCTAAATCTTATCCCTAACTAAACTATCATTCAGAGTGGAAACAAAATCATTTTTATACAGACCCCAGGATGTTTACATCAAATAAAAAATAATCTAAGAAAAAAGAGGTAGAGTTCAAGAAATAGTGATCAAAGAAAACAGTAAAACGTATTTCTCATCTCTAAGGTATTGACAACCATAGCTAAGAAATGTAATGCAATACTAAGGAAGGATTCATAAAATAGAGTAGGTATAATAAGTATAATTCGCAACCTGATTTTTTAAAATATTTTTTTATTGTTAAAGTATTATATGTAGTAATACATATATCTTCTTCTTACCCCCCATTGACCTTCCCCAGCCATCTCTACCCCCTGTCACATGCCCTCACCCCATCCCCCCAGTGTCTTGCGTCCATTTGTTGTGCTTATATGCATGCATACAAGTCCTTTGAACCTGATTTTTTTAAAGTTGGTTGGAAAGGTGGAAATAGGTAAAGGCATTTTGTAAGGCTTATCATGAGCAAGGAAGAAGCTATTACATATTAGAATAAACTCTTTAAGGAAATATAACTCAGCTGTTCCATCTCCAGGGATTCATTCTATAGATGGAATAATATGTGTGAAGAGTCGTGTGTATATAAGGCTATTTATACTGAAATGTGTAATCATGGCAATAGATTTGGAATGATACACAAAACTGGAAAGAGGAGAGCTGTGCCTCTAGGATTGTCTGTTCAGGGCTAGAAGGGAGAGGTTTCATTGTATGCCTTATATCATGTGTAACCTTTTAATCACATGTATTTGGGGGAACTATAAAATATTGAGGGAAGTATGAAAAATGTAAGACTTTAGAGCATGGGTTGCCAAACCTAGCTGGCCACTTATTTTATTATAACTTGTGACCTAAGAGTAGTTTTTACATTATAAGTGCTTGAAGAAGAAGAAGAAAAAAAGAGGAAGAATACTTAGTGACATGAAAATTATATGAAGTACAAGTTTCAGTGTCCATTGGACCATAACTATGCTCATTTATTTACACATCATCTATGGCTGCTTTTGTGCTACAAGACAGAGGTAACTAACTAAGTATGATGTTTACTGTCTGACTCTACCTAAAGTGTTTGCTAACCCTTGGTCAGAGGACAGAAACTGGACCTCTGTATATACAGGAATTTTGCTTATAATAAATAACATATCCACTTAGTGCTTGACACACAATAGATATTCAAAATATTTGTTGAATGAGGTGCTGTCTTATAATAATCATACTTTTATTTCTAAATATTTACAATTGATTTATGGACATATTAAATAACCTATATATCACTTTTAATATTCATAAATTACTCAAAAATAAAATATAATTCCCTCCTTCACAAATATTTATGCCTCATAATGTTTTAGTTTGTTTTGTTTTTGTTTTCTGACAGTATTCATCTTTTCCAAATAATTTTGTGACTTTGTTTTTGTTGTGTAAAAAGTAAACTCAAAACTATAAATTTAGTTTTTTAAAACTTTAATAATAATTATTCTATACAGCCCTAAACGGTTTGGCTCAGTAGATAGAGCATCGGCCTCTGGACTGAAGGATCCCAGGTTTGATTCTGGTCAAGGGCATGTACCCAGTAGGGAGTTTGTAGGAGGCAGCTGATGGATGTTTCTCTCTCATCGATGTTTCTGGCTCTCTATCCCTTTCCCTTCCTCTCTATAAAAAATTCAATAAATATATATATTTTTAAATTATTATTATTA